CAATATCCATGTCTAAAACAAAAATCAATGTTGACTTAAACATTTTCTTTAACAATTGTCTTTTTTTTAAATTCGATCTTTCTCTTGCTTTTTTTCATTGAGGAAGTCTTTTACCTTCCCTACTCACTGAGGAGTATTGACTTCGTGGTACACATTCTAAAGCATTTCTGATTTGAATATTTTTGTACATTTTTATCAATTATTAAACCTTCTCTTCTAGCGTGTACTAGTATTTATTTCTACGTAAACTGCTCAGCTCTTTTAAAAAATTGTATGATCACTTAAAGATAAACTAAATCCCTGAAATTTTGCTTTCTCTTACCCACATAGCTAAGTCACTTTCGTTTTTTAATATAATCAGTGCATTTACAGCCCCTACATTTGTTTTTGATCTGTGAATTTCTACAGAATACTTCAGAGAGGCCATGGTTTGAAGCTAGAATACTTTTTACATGCTAACTTTTGAAGGTTGGTAATGTAATTTATACTATATTCCTTCAGTGCAGGATTATTTTTAAAATCGTAAATTTTAACACATAGTTTGTGGTTTACCTTAGTTTTTTTTTTCTTTTTTTTTTGGACACTCTGAGCGATCCTATTTCAAGTTGGGATTTAAAAGAACAAATGTTCATTTTATTTTTTTGCTTCATCATCCTAATGAATTTGAAAAGTGGGACTGACCAGGATGACACTCTGCCCATCCCTTCCTCCCTGTTTCGATTAAATCTGTCCACTGTTGAAAGCTTCAAAAAAAAAAGGCGGGGGAGAGCAAGGTTTCCCAACTTCTCTTTGCTTTTCTGATGTGAAATATAGGACTTTGTAGAAAGTGAGAACCATTATTTTTAGAAAATGTGAATTAATAAGTTGCTTGCTTAAGTCTCCTATTGTATATTAGAACCAAAACATAACTACTTAAACAGGGATTCACCTACACTTAATTTTCAGAGGTCCCATTGTAATGATAGTAAATATTGCCAATCATGTCTAATACTTGACTTGGAAGTCAGTGGTAAAATCTTTAAAATAAGTATATGATACTGGCAGAAATACTAGTGATGTTTCAAAAGAATTTAGAATCTGTAAAATGTTTCAATTCTATGAATGATGATTTTTTTAAGTACAACTTTAAAGTTTTGATTTTTCTATTTAAATAAAAAACTATTGATGTGTTTTAGCATGTCCTCAAAATAAATTTCTGTACTTATACGGTCTTTTCACAACCTCAGATCCCTACAGGGGCAATACAAATTCAAGTTTCCCTATAGCTCACCCATGAAAATTACTTAACCTAAAACAAAACTAGTGAACAAGTTACAACTCAGAATACACCATCCTTGTTATGAAATATATTGTAGTGGCTATAATAATTGTCTACCATCTTCTGATAGTCCCATCAAATGAGATTTAGTTGCTGGATACTGTCCAGTCTGAAGGCACAGGTGATGGGAAGAGCCTGTGAATATTTTTAATCAATTAGATTAAAGATTTAGGTTTCAAAGTCTTCACTCTGGTAATAAAGAGCTGAAATGTCTTAAAATGGTGGTTCCATTCGAAGTGAACAGATGTTGAAACAGTTTGAACATGTGTTCAAACAGGAAAGCATGTTGATTTTCAGATGAGGGGAATGTCTACTTTTCAATTAAGTCTCAGACATAGGTAAATGCTGAGGGTTCATCTTCCCTCATCATCATAAATAAATTATTGGGTTAAAATCACTAATACATTTAATCTCATACTTGATAGTCAAAATAGCAGGTGTTTTTATTTTCTCTGGTCTATAATTCCTGTGTGGGAAAATTGAATTTGTATGAAAAGTTAATTTAGTCAACCAAGTATGAAGAATTCATTGCACTTCTCCCAAGTGTATTTAAATAGCTTACCGCTTTCAAATTTAAAAAAAAGGTCCCACTTTTTTTTTTAACATATAATGGCATTTTGTTATTACCCAAAAGTAGCTTCAGCATATAGATTATTCATGTTTCTCAACAATTAAAAATACTTTCTATGCCTTCCAGTAAATCTGAAAATGATCAAAGTATAATAGGTCTTTTGACTTTTGCTAATTGGGCCTAATACTATAAAATGAAATTTGTAATGGTAGAGTGAAGAGACTAAACACTCCTCGAATATCTGTGTATATTTTCTGGAAAGAAGGTCCACAGTTTCCATATAGTTACCAAAGGGCTTTGTGTCCTGTGTTAAGAAGCGTTAGCCTTACAGGATTCTTGTTTTCTTCCGTTGTTAATGGTCAACTGAGTGCTGACTAGGCAGCCACTTGCTGCAGCCAAAAAGGGGTAACCCCTTTTATACAATGACCTTTTTTAAGCCTAGATGCTATTTAGGGGAGAAAGCAATTTCTAATGAAATAGTACCCAGGGAAGAGTGGTGAATGCTGTTTTTAAGGTTATAGGCTATTTAAGTTACTGTGTAATTTAAATGTAAATCGCAAATGAAAGAACAAAATATTTCTAGAAATAAAATGAGACAAAGCACATAATTCCTTGTATCTTAAATCTGAGGCTTTACCCTTGGGAAAAGTATCTCAGTAGGAGGTAGAATTTTAATTCTTTTACTTTCTCTAGGTAAAACTGCACTGATACCAATTTTTATGAAAGTGTGTTTTAATAGGTTTATAACAATAGGCTTATAATCTCATTCTATGCTTCTCGTAGTACTAGTATAATAATTCTTACCTTGTTCTAAATTTTCAATTATTTTGACTTCAGTGGTCTAGTTCCTATTTATGTTTCATTCACTGCTATATTCTGTGGATTAGAACAGTGCCTGGCACGTAGTAGGCATCCAATTGAATGAATGTAAAATATTGACAGATGTACTCAGCCAGTATACATGGTACCCATCATCTGTATTAAAGGGCTTAAAAAAGTGTTGTTGCAGTAAACCATATTAACCCACGACTACAGCCACATACATAACTGAAGTGCACTGAAGTGACTGTAATTTTACCATTACTTCAGAAAAAAGCTTATTTGAACATATAACTTCTATGTGGTTTTTGAGTAGGAAAGGAAATCCCCTGTGATGATTTGAAACATCTCTCTGTAACTCTTAAGTTAATATTATACAATAGTAGTTCAAAAGTAATTTATTTGAGGAATTAACAATGAGCTAGATCAGAAATGGTTTTTAAAGGTCCTAAGAGAGACAATAGCAAACTTCCTATTAAAAATGTAAGCTAAGAACTAATCATTTCAGGATGTTTTTGACAAAGGGATGACTAATGGTAATATGATAGGCATTCAAATGTTACTGGAGCTGATGTGGGAAGTGAGAAGGTTTTGCTGCAATTACCCACACACTCGCCCAGTCCTCCATTTTATTTAGCTTGTCTACCTGGCCTAAATTCTTTAAATTGCAGTAATTATTTACGCTCTTCATTTTATTTCTCATTTCCAATTACAGTTGACATACATTGTTAGTTTCAGTGATTAAGTATCACATAACAAACTTGCTACATAAAAACTGCTTTTGTGACACAGTAGGACTTAGTTCAAAGCCATCTCATTGTTAGTGAGTGATAATCGACTTAATGGATAATCGCCCTGGGTGTAAGACTGATGTATGCATTTCAGGGGACCTGGCTAAACACCCCCAACCCCCGTTTCTAGTCATAGACTGAAACAAAATGGCTGTCTATTCAGATCAGATTCAAACTAAGCCATTTCTTGTTGCCCTTCTTTTATGCTGTCCTTTGGGGTACCTAAATGTGCTATTTATAAACATTCTTTTTTTGGTCCTTCCTGCAAACATTTTGGGTAGGTGTTGGTTTCATGCCTGCCTACCCCTTCAGCTAAACTGAAGATTTGTTCTGAAAGGTGAGTAATAGGAGAACAAGGTTTCTATGTTCTGTTTGTAATTACCAGATTTTCTCTTCTATTTATATATTGTTCTGATGTAAAGAACTTCAGTTATATAAAATTAGACCTTTTGTAAATAAATATAATTTATTAGAAAAATGGCATCTTCTACTAAGTAAGTTTTTGTGCCAGCTTTTACCTTTCAGCACCCCTCACGCAGCAGTTGTGTTGTGAGATGCTAGATTACCCACATTCTGTTTTCTCAGTGTAATACCTGCTTTTCTCTGTAAAAAGACCAAAAAAAGTGTATTAATAGTTCCTAATGCATTTGTTCTTTGCTTCAAATTTTTTTCTCTTGGAAATACATGGAGTATTAGGTTTAAAAGAAATGGAAAACTAACAATTCTTTTCTGTGAACTGGGATGATAGTATATTCATCTTTGCAGACATCTCTGATAGAATTTAGGAAATAGGCATTAGGGCTAAGAGATTTTACTAAATATTAAAAGTACTAGGCATGTGAATTCTAAAGCTATTATAAAAGCATCCCTTCCAGTACAGACGTAATTTCTACAAAATCCAGTATGTTGAACCAGCAAGACCCATTCTAGGCAGAGCAGTGTTGAGTCAGCAGGGTCACTGGGCATTCACTGCAGTCAGCTGGAATGGGTGAGGGCTTAGATCTGGGAGTGCGGGGCTTAATTCTGGTCATAGGTAAGCGTCTTAATGGATGCTGCTGGTATATAACGTCCTTAAACGTAACCATCTCTGCCTCATTTGAACTTACTGGGTCTGAATACCTTCCGAATTTGTGGGATATTAAAGACATTATTTTCTTTTACCACGAAGCACTTTGCCCTGGTACAAAACAAACGAGATTCTGAGTGCAGTATTGATCCCCTCCCGCCTTGTAAAATAAGACTAAACCCCTCTAAAGTGATTTTAAACCACTTACACAGTTTTCTAATATACTAAATTTCCTTGCTTCCCTTAAACACTAAAAACAATATACTAAATTGATGACTTGGGAGTTACCATTACAATAACTGGAAGGAATAAGTTTGATTTTTGGATCCCTCACTACCAAAACCTATTTGGTTACTTCATTCCACATAGCAAGTGGTCAAGAGTTTGTATAGGAAGGGATTTTACTTAGTTGAACAAATACATTTAAATTCTGAGTCTAAGCACCAAGACATACCTGTTTCTAGAAGATAAAGGTATACATAAAACTGGCAAAACCCCTAAAGTATACTACTGAAAGACCACAACATATTACAGGATAGTAGTGTAAATAGTTTATTTGCTCATATGCCATGAAAAGAGCAGAAAAGTAACATGAACTGCTTTTATAAAACATTCTAATATTGCTAAGAAGCCCATTAATAGACAAACAGAAAAGAACATGCCAACATTATTGTCTACAGATTAATAAATAGAAGTATTTTAACATGCTCATCAACATTGAGCTTTGGAAAAGGACCAACAGTTTGCATTGTGTATCTCATGGCTGAATTTATCATCAAAATGAATGTTAACAGACAAAATCTTGGCATGTTCTTTTGAAGGTACACATTTATGAAAATTTGCTGGCAGGTGACAGTTTAAAAGCAATCTTTCTGTAAATAGGTATGCTAAAGTAAAATGTAACTGATCCCTAAACTGTCCTTGTAGTTAAATATATATATTAAAAAAAAACTATAAGTTAAAATAACATTCAGATTGTATAGCATAGGCTGATGCATTTTTAAACAATATTTACAATATTACCAAGAGGCTTAGGTGGGAATTAAAGAGAAGTGTAAAAACCATAAAAAACTGCACCAATTTTATAGCAAAATATCTGTACATTTAAAAAGAGGTCATATATAACTACACATTATCCAAGGAAAATTGGACCTTCACCAAGGAGTTCACATAAGCACAACATAAATTCAGTGGTTAAATACTATACAATAAACTTTACAATTAATATATTGATGTAATGTACCAAGAAGGTAAGCCAGAAGCAGAATGTATGTTAGGGAAAGTACAAATTAGCTTCAGTCCAGTTTTTGACTTTGGAATGGATCAAGTGCCCTGCCAGAGAGGAAGAAAAAATAACTGGCTTAGTTGGCCATTTAGTCCCATTGCATACCATTTAAACTTAATCCCAATGTGAACATTTCAGCAATTCCCTATAAAGTAGTCTGGGAAATACAAGTCCTTAGCTTTAAAATATGATGCCAAGTATGTCTTCTCCAATTTACAAAAGGAAGGAGGGGGGCGGGGGAGAACAACCGATTGTCAGAGGAGAGTAAGGCCAGGTTACTAACACTACTCTGCTAGCAGAAGTACTCGAATACTTTTTAACAGAGAACTTCCTGGCTAGCAAGGCACCGATGTCTGTTCTCAGGTTTGACCCATAATGGTCCTCAGAAATCCTAATACCGATTTACTGAGATGTTAATTTTAGTGCTAATTAATAAATACATTTGCATTATTTTTTTTAAAGCTGCCCCTAGCTGAAGAACACAGTACTGCAAATCAGTTTTATACATTTGTATGCCATCATATTCTTGCATTCATAAGGTGAATCTCTCACAGGGAGAGCATGGTACTCTAGCACAGAAGTAGGAGAATGTGAGAGCTAAGTAACTTCTGTGCTACTGTAATTGCATCCTGTTTGTACTTTGCTGGGCCTTGGTTATGGACAGAAAGAGTTTATCATGTGACTTTTTTTCTTCTTCCATGTTGCAAGCCCTTAAAAATACAAAGTCGATGGGTATGGCTGAAACACAAAATTCCTTAAAAGACATCTCAGCAAAGGAAGCCCACAGCAGATGCATTCATGTTATTTACGACTTATTAGGAAACCACAGTGGGCCATCATGGGACAATCACAATAGCAGGTGATACTTATAATATGAAATTTACAATTTGATTAAAAAATTAATAACATACTGATGTAAAAAGATACCTAATCAAATCAAATCCTATTGCTTTGATTAATCTGAGCAGGTACTTCCACTTTTAGGCACTTGTTAACAAAGGTTGGAAGGAGAGCCCATCATTTTAAAATTCCTATGTGTTTGCTAAATCTGAGCCCTTAGAATATTTTATCTATGTCAAGGCTGCAGTTAAATGGTAGCACATAAAGTTCATGTGGACAGTTTCTTTCATGCACACCCTCTATTCACACAGTCAGATCTCAGGTTCACATGGTTATTTCGGCACCATTAACAGAACGCAAGTTCTGATCGTCAAAGCGCCGCCTGACACTCCTCCTCACCGCATCGGCTCGTCTATATGGTTGGTTTCTAAGATCTGCAAAGAGAAGAGCACCAATGAGAGAGCTGCAACCTTTAATAGCCTGTCTAAGCAAGACAAAGACCAGCTGGCAGCCAATCAAAGCAGCTTGTGTAGAAGAGTCTGCTAATGGGCCCTTCAAACCCACTGAGTATTTGAGCTTGAGTATTTGCCCTCTATATAGAGTCAAAACATGATGTAATACTGGTGGGATTCTGGAACTTTTAGCAAAATGCATAGGAGAGGAGATTGCTTCTGTCACTGGCCAGAGAGTCTAGCTGAAATATTTTGAAATGTTTCCTCAATTGGAAATCCCTATGGCTTAAGTGTTTGGGTTTTTCCTTTCTTTCTGGAAACCTAAATATAAACAACACAATGGATTTTTAAGCTGCAAAAGTCATCAAACCAACTGCCCTGTTCCATCTTATCTGAAGTTCTAATCAAGGAAGGAACCTACACTTAGCAGACATAGATTCCATTATTTTTATTCTATTAATATCAGCTCAGTTTTTATTTTGTGAATTAGAAACAGTTCTCAACTACTAAATAAAAGTAATCACTAAATCAAAATAACACCCCATTCCTGAACATTCTTTCCTGCCCCCCAACAGTTTTGTTTTTCATTCAAAGGGAGAAGTTTTATGGGCCCCTCTGCATTCTGCAATTGGAAATGCATGGCAGAATGCCTAACGTTTTAAAAAATGTCTTGCTGAATGAATGACTCAACTCCTGCATATCAGTTCGAGCAGGGAGTATTTTGGAGAGAGAAGGTGGGATGAACAAGAGAAATATTTCGGTAGCAGACACTCCTTAGTACGAAGCACGCACTGATGCACGAGGCTGGTAGCCTAGCCAGCGGGTAGCCACCTTTTGATGGAGTCAGGGTAAAGTGAAAAAATAAAGCAGGCTTCATACTTCTTTCCCTTGTTTTGATTAATTAGTATACATTCCCCTTTCATTAACTTGGTATTTTTTATTTCTATTAGGAAACACTCTACCTTTAGAAAGGGAAACACAAACGAGAATTGTTAGACTCAATCTCTTTTAATCCCTTCACCTAATCAGTAGTTTGAAAATGGAGCTGATAGGCCATACCTGGCCCACGAAATGTTTGGCCTTGACTTACATTATTAAATACAGTTTCCTGATATTTCAGTTGGTGATTAACAATTAGCGTTTCTGACTTCTGTTGGAAAACTGAAGGATCTGGCAATACCGGGCCCAAATTCTTACACGGTAAAAACAAGCTGGAACTGAGTGTGCATGAGAAAGAGCGGGGCTCACAGGTTCAGCACAGTCCGCACCAGCTCCTGACTCACTGGAATTGGTGACCCTGCCCTACCCTTACATTCAAGCTAAGGGTTGTTTTGCCTGCCCTAATCCTCTGGAAACTCAGCTTCCTGGCCTGGAGTGGGAAGGGGCGGTCAGAACTCCACTTTTGGCTAAGGCTATGCAGTGACCTGTATCTTTGGGATTCCTGAGACCTCTAAGTAATTAATTTTAAAGATCTTAATCCTTCTACGTGTTCCTTGGCCAGGACTTGCTCTCAATTTCTTCACATAAAAATGGGGTTAACTAAATAACACAAAGGCTAAGAAGGGGGTAATCCTAGCACCCAAAGCAATTACAATAATCAGCAACAACCCTTGCCCAAGCCATCACACTTGAGAACATGGAAGCAGGCCAGAAAGAGTCCAACAGAGAGGCTCAGCCTCACATCATTGAAAGTGAAGTACAAAGGCTTCTCCCTGGTCCAACTCTCACCAGTATCACCCTCAGCCATAGATTGAAACCACTGATCTGCATACAGAGAGAGGAGGAAGCTAAGTAAAAAGTGATGCTTGCCAGCTCTGTGTATCCTCCACCACCGGTGTGCTAGAAGAAATCCTTACCCTCGAGTGAACATTTGGAAATTTAGTGATATTATTCTTCTTTAAAGCTAAACAGAAACAAAAACAAAAACACAAAATGATGGTTAAATAAAAATGGGATGAAAATGAAAAGCAATTCATCTTAGTGCTTAACATTCCCGGGCATGTTAGCCAACAGAGCAAGAGAGAAGGACGTCGTTACTACCAGAGCCATTAGATAAAACAAGGGAGATGAAGTGTCTTCCCATCCAGTCCGCTGACCACCCAGATCCAAGCTGCTTTGAAGTCTGGCTCCAGAATGATAGTCCAGCAGCAAAACTGACAGTAAACACTCGCCAATAGATAACAGTTTCTAGCCTTGTTAATAAGCATGGGTGGGTAAGCACACTGCAGAGCAGGCAACAACACACCATGTCCTTTGATATCTTCAGATACAAAGAAACATATACAACAAATGCAATTATACAAGAGTTAATGCCACAAAATGAACACATACCCAGTTCCATGTCAATCTCAGCATGGGACTCAAAACAACGGCAATTTCCAATTCGAGTACACGCTGCCCTTGTCTCTTTTCTAATTGGTTGGGCAGTGCAGTGAACTTTGTTCCTTATCTAGGAACCAGGGTCTAGGCCCAGGCAGTTACATATTGTGAAAATTTGATTTATTTTTTTTTTTAAATTTCTAAGAACAAAGGCATTTTCCGATGAGAGGTATTCACTACTAGTATCTCTGGTGCCACTGTCCTGACCGAAGGAGCAGGCTCAGATACGATCTCATTATAGAAGAAGAGCCCTGGGTTTGACATGGAACACAGGGGAAAAAGCATGAATGAGATAAGATGGTGAGGGGCTCCTAAGCCTTTGATTTCATTTCATTTCCTGCTTAACAGCCTAACTTGAACATGGAAGTGCTGAGCAATGGATTACCTTATATCAGCTTATGCAGGCTTCTGGGTTGAAAGGGCTCCCTGTGTTAAGCTCGTACCATGAGCTCCATGACACTGTGGATGACGGCTATAGGCAGCATGAGACCCTTAAGGCCCAATTTACAGCTGTGCATAGTTCACAGTTCCTTCTGAAAATCGTTTTGCAACTTTAGAGCACCTTACATTCCCGAGCGCTTGTATAGCAGCTCATTTTACTATCAAAGCATGTTAAGTGAGTACAAAAAGAAGGCTGATCTACTATCTGTAAACCTGTTAGAACACAGTAAGTGCTCAATAAATGTTTGGCATAGCTGCTACTGTTATTAATGACTTTTTTTTTGTTCAAAGATACTAGTGCGCAAATCTTACAAGCAATCTAGTTTATTCAAATCCTGACTCTGAAAGAAGTGCTCTATTTACTATTTTTCTGAAAATTTCTTTCAGCAATTCTATAATTCAACTCAGACACACCCTGACCGTCACAGCTACGTGGATTCAGAGACGTACTGGAAGTGGCCATGAGGAGGCAGTTAGGACTGAAGGGGGAAACCATGCAGCATGGAGACAACATAAAACACAATGTGGTGGAGATGGCGATTCCATGCTAGCACGTTGGGTGGCCCTGACAGACACACAGAGGGTCATAGGAGGTCAAAAAACCTGCAGCAACCTTTTAAGAGCATCGGGTGAGAAAGAGCAATAGTTTAGTAATGGTATTCCTCAGTGAGAACAGGTTCGCAGAAAAATCGAGAGCCACGCTTGGCGGTGCGAGCAGTGAAGGGCACAGTCTTCAGCACTGCATCAGAAACGACAGCCAAACAAGACAAACAGAAGAGAGTAAAAAGCCAAGATCTATCGCATTAGTACACGGTTAGTTCTTTGTTAATCATACCTGGGGAAACAGGTGGGGCAGGTGAGCAGGAAGGAGGGGAAGGCAATATATACCTGAGTGAGCTCGTAAAATCTAAGAGTCACTCAATCTGGGATTTGATTGTGGGTCACAAAATGGACACTATTACAAGGAAAATACATAATGCTCCATAAACAGATATGCGCTGTCACCTCCCATGGTTAGGTCAAGCAAATAAAAGCTGTACACTCGCTCGATTTACAAGCCAGGTGTCATTGGGATGGAGAACACGCTGAGGAAAAGGAACTCTAAGTTCTTAGAGTGCAGGGCTCAATGCTTCTCCACCTACAAGTTAATCTTATAGCACGGAGGTGAAAAGGCATTTACCCAAGGAGACCTATTCCTGGTGCAGAGCTCCCCCCTCAGTGTGGGGAGGCAAGGAGAGATGCTAACAATGGGAGCTTTATCTGGGGGCCACCTACAACCCACTGCACAGTGAGGGTTCACATGTACAGAGAACGTCTGTACGTACGCAGAGACCAGCATTTTCACCAGCCACTCAGAACTTACTCTGCTGCACTCTGGGCAAGACATTCTTCATTGACTTCTTTTTTAGTATTTTATTTCCTTGGGTCTGAGCTGGTGAAAAAAAATGTGATTTTGGCAGTTTGGGATCCTTATTTACAATGCCAACTAAGCTATTAACAAGAAATGGGAAGTGAAAAGTAGAAGAATTTAAGAAGTATAAGTTTTTAAAAATTCCAACAACTGTGGCAATGTGAATAATGACTTGATATTTTATATCAAGAAATAGTTTAAGAGGTGTACAATAATGGTACTATGGATATGTTTGCTTTATTAAAGTCCTTATCTTTTGAAGATACATACTGATATATTTTCCACATGAAACTGTCTTGGAATTGCTTCAAAATAATCCCAGAGGTTGGGGAGTGGGGAGGAGGTGGAAGCAGGCATGTAGCAAGACTGGCCCTGAGCTGAACATTGTTAAGAGGTGGGGGGTACATGGAAACTCATCATACAGTCTCCACATTTTTTCACATTTTAAATATTTTGCACAATAAGAAGTTTTAAGCATCTTGGAAGCGGATAAATAGTATTCATATGCAACAGATGTGAAAGGAAAGTGGCTTGCAGCCACTAACACAAGACACCAGCCCAAATTATTGTCCCGATGCGTAAGAGGGAAGGCAGGGACTGTGTGGAACTGGTCCCAGGAGAAAGCATCAGGCTACAAACAATCGGGCAAGAACCAAGCTGGGTTAGGCAGCATTCTTAGCTGGCAGAAGGGCCCTTCTGAGTGAGGGCACCAGCTCCTGACGTAAGGCCTTGTCTTCAGTTACTGGTGACTGTGAAAAAGCAAAGGGGCTTTTAAAGAGCATATTGGAGAAATCTGTACTGACTGGTTAGTACAGACCCCTGAATGGGTCTTGCCGTAGCATTTATTAATCAGGCAGGTGGAGAGCAGTGGCCGCAAGGAAGAAAAGAAGAGCATGGTGACAAATCGAAGGCAATGGAAGACCATTAGGAGACGGATCTCTGGGGAAATCGAAAGTGTTCCAATGATACTGAGAAACAAAGATGTTTCAGAGAGCGTGTTGGGGTTCTTTGATGGGCAGTATAGAGGCTACTATAAATGTTCTTCAAACACTAGCATAGAGCCTCTGCATAATTCTAGATCTGATTAAAGTCAACTGAAGAACTGTAAACCCTGGGCAACAGGCAGCAAAATCTGCAAGTGGCCGGTGTGGGTGAGGCTGGCAGGATCTCCACGGGCCATGATGAGGGAGTATCTTTTACCTGTGATAATATCTTCAATGGCACCATCTTTTCCTTCGTATACGTGTCTGTTATCTTTAACTTGACGCCTTCTTAATTCCGCAATTAATTCTTGCTGCTGCCTCTTTGATTTGTGAGAAGGAGACTGAGAAGAAAGAAGCGTGGCAGGGATTAGTGGGACCAGCACCCACTGGAGGTTTGAGAAAACGCAGAACGTGCCTCAGCATTAGGTTACTAAGGAGCAGCCTCCACCAAAAACAGAAACAGCACCAGCCCTCATTGTGCTCAAACAGAAAAAGACCCAGAAAGCTTCTAGGAAGAAAACAAACTTTTACTGAAGAACCCACAAAAGTCCAGCTGGTAGCGATGGGAAGGCTGGATCCTATGGTGATAACCCCGGGCTTCTTAAACTCTGAGGCAGAGGGTCATGATGAGGCCTGCTTTGATCTGCCAGCCTCTACGGTCTTCACCCGTGACGTCCCCCTCCGTGGAGTGCTCCTCCCGCTCCCCCCAGCAAAGCCCTGCGGCCAGCAGGCCAGCACCCCGACATCCCCACAAAGCCCTCTCTGGACACGAAGCCATCCAATCACCGAATATGGCCTCTCGGCATGGTTTATCGCACTGAGATTTAAGTTCCACATCTCTGTAAACTTAGAAATGCTACAGGAACATGCTCTTAGCCTCATTTCACTTCTTGCTGAATGAAGTTGTTAATGAACAAACCTCCATTCACCAAGTTTCCAAGCCCTAGAAGGAAGGAGTAAGGAGCCTCTGAGGCTTGCCCCTGAGGGGCCACCAGGACCCCCGACACGAGGGCTGTCGTGGGAGCCAGGGCTTCTCACCTTTGGATCCTGCTGCTCCATCAGCGCTTCCTGCTCCAGGAGTTTCTCCATGAGCGCTTGTTCCTGCTTTTTCCTCAGCTCGTTCTCCTCTTCTGCTTGCTGGGTGAAATCAAAAGCTATGTCAGTGGAAACAGCAGTCAAGATTCTTAAAAGTCATTCTGCAAGAATCCTTGGTAGCCAGCAAGGAGAGTCAACGGAAGGTTCAGAAGATCTACACTTTGTGCCTGTGTATCATGCTGATTTGGGGCTTTGCTGTTGGTCTCTGTGACATCTCTTTGAAATCGAGTAGCTGAGGTTTATGTCATCCAGAAGCCCCTCCTGGGCCCTGCTCACCCCGCTGCTTAGGCTTAGGCCCGAAGATGTGGAGGGGACCTACCTAATTGGCAGCTCTCCTCAGCAATTTTCAAATTTGGGACAAGAAATCAAACAGGCTCGTCTCAACTCAGCTCTCCTGGCATCCTGTCTTCTGAAGTCAGTCTCTCTAAAGAGACTTCTAATAGTTTAGCTGTGAACTGCTTGAGTCATCTAATTTAGGGCTGAAGTGGAAACTCATAGATACACATCATATACTCCAGTCCAGTTTTTTATCAGCAATAAAGCTTACACTTTGATCTTTCTTGCTTTTGCCTTAAGTTTCATTTTGGATTGAACCTGAAAAGGGAAAGGTGGATGTCATCCTAAAACCCCAACGTCTGCCCACAAAGTCCCTGGTCCGGCTCAGGCTGGCAGGTTACTTGTTGCGCACAACCTACGGCAGGTAAAACAGCCCGGAGCCTCTCTGCCTGACAAGGGCCTCATGGAGCCACCGAAGAGGACCACAGGGAAACGATATGGAAGGGGCACCCTGACAGGCTCTGACCTGTGACATCCCACAGGTCCCCAAGGGCAGCTTTTCTTTTTCCCCTGCTTTCCATGTCCCTGCTGAAGCATCAGGCTTTGACATCAACCTGAGCCACTTCCCAGCTTCTATTAATCTTATACAATTTAAAAATAACATATTTTCTCTTGCGACCTGAGACTTACAATTTATGTGGGAAAAAAAAAGTAGTCCCAGCACATGACAGGAGCCACCGTGAGCCATCTCTGCAGCACGCTGGCCCCAGCAGCCAGCGAACACCAGAGCGCCACGGTCAGCAGCTGGTGACCAGCGACCTTCTCATCACTTCTTGCTCCGTGTCTTACACAAGGACTTTGTGCTGTGCTTGTGTTTGTCCTCACTTCCAAGGCCTTTTTCCTTTTGCAAACAGTGTGTGCCGTCCATGAAGCCACGCTGAGAGAAGATGGCTCAATACTATAATCTTTTAAGTTTCAGTAAAAGGCCGAAGGATGGTTCTCCAAAGCCATCAGCCTCTGCTGGAGCTGCAGAAGTGACCCACTCTATCCAAAGGGATATTTCTAAAAAATGCATGAGGGGGGACCAAAAAAAAAATCCTGAATTATCTTCTGGAGGGCAGGCCCCTTGTGGTACAGGCTTCCCCTGCTAGGTGAGTGTTCTAGGAACCTGTCTGTATCAGGGTACCAGCTGGTGTTGTGAGAGGCTGCGTTCAGTCTCAGTGAACTTTTCTGAGACTCTTTTAACGCATCTGTCCATTTCTGTCCATTTCATGGTGGGTGATTTACGAGTGCACCTGCCCACACTTCACTGAGTGTTCAGCAGTTTTTGACCAAAAACGGTATTACCCTATTCACCCGACCTCACCCTGGATGACTTTTTTTGTTTTCCCAGATGAAAAAAGTCCTCAAAGGGAAACATTTTGCTGGTGTGGAAGAGGAGAAACAAAACACAGCAGAAGCACTAAAAGGCATCAGAGTCGATGAGTTCAAAAGCTATTTTGGGCAGCAGAAAAAAATGCCTTGCTAGGTGTATTGCATCAAATGCAGAGTACTTTAAAGGTGCCTGAAGTTTAAACATGTACGAATACACAATTTTTTATAAATAAATTCCAGAGTTTTTGGCCCCCTCATGGACAACCTTGACACATCCCTCCTCCCCTCTACAGTCACTTCCACCCTCCTCCTCCATTACCTAGGTTCTATGGAGACAAGTCTGGAGAACATGGATTGCAATGTTTCCTCAGTGCACTAAAATTCCCTAACACCCTCCTTGTCATTCTTTCTCAAGGGACAAATTCTTCTGACACATGCCTCTTTTGGGTCATATGTTTTTTCAAGACCATGAGCCTGGCTTACGGAAGAGGGCCTCCTATTTAAAGGACGGGCCACTGTTGGTCCACATGAAGAAACAGAGAGCAACTGTCCTTCCTGGTGCTGCGTATCAGTCCACGCTAGAGGAGTGTCGGTCTAGATGGGCCAAAGGCCTGGGCAGCCCTAACACCGGCAGGCTCTTTCTGGCCTCAGATGCAGCACCACGCCCCAGGCCAGGGCTCACTCCTCTTATCTGTTCAACGCCAGAGGGCCCCTGGATTTTCTAAGTCCTTCAACACACCTGTGAGGGTGGGCAGTCAATGAGGCAGCAACAGTGATGGCCCCCTTGCTTGCCCCAAGGATTGGCCTGGGCCCCAGGACCAGCTGGGTGGAGACCGGGTGCATGATGGGCCGAGGGCCCTGGAAGCACTCAGCCTCCTCAGGGCCAGGGACTGCTGTCTCACTGACCGCCCTGCCTGCTGGCCCCCAAACAGTGGAGGCCTCTGCAGAGCTGCTGAGACTCAGATCCAGCTCGGAAAGGGCACCTGCTTGAAAAATAGTGCAAAGGAAGGGCCTAAAGGACACCATGCCCCGTTTACCTTATAGGCCTTCACGAACCGGACAAACACAGGAAAGAAGACAGAGGGTGGTGTCGTCTTGGGGTTTTCTCCAAAGTACTTCACCACATCATCAAAGGCGTCCTGTGGAGAAGCAGATTTCTCTTGAATTTCATCAGTTCCAGCATTTGAGCCGGAGGCTCTGGACAAAGAGCTGCAGCAAAGCAGCAGTGACGACACGTGCCTCCCCCGTGGCCCCCGGCTGCCCTCCCCTCCTCCCACGGTTCCCTCAGTCCCGTGTTCCCTGCCAGGGCCCGGTCAGAGGCAGCGAGAGTGCAATGGCACTGCACAGGAACCCGCCTCTGTGGCCCCTGTCACCCCCACACACCTACACACACCCGTGCGTGCATGCTCCTGTTCTTTCAAGAGCTTTCTAAAGCCATGGCAGAACTCCTTCAAACCAACGAGGGAAGACGGGACCTTACAAGTTACTCAGACTCTAAGGCCCAACTTGCTGCTTCACTGCTCCTTACAGTATCCCCGCCTCAGGGACACTCAAAGTGTCTGCTGGCACTCATCCATGACAGAGCCAGGCAGCCTCAAATGGGAGCCATTCCGCCACATCCGCTTTCTGAGTTCCCACAACACCCTGCATTCCCCTCTATGATGGCATGCAGTCAGTTCTGGCTTTTTTCAAATGTGTAGACTTGACCGGCCCCAGGGTTGTGTAAGATTTCAAGGTCAAAGGCCTACAGAACACAACACACTGGGAACACTCCTTTGCTCAGCATGGGCCTGATACATGTTGGCTGAACTGAATACAGGACTCACATACAGGAGGCCTGGAAGTGGAATGGGAGGGGCTTGAGGAGGGCTAGCCTCTAGAGAAGAGAGTGAAACCCCTAAATTAAGAGGACAATGAGCAAGATAGGGGCCCTTCCAGGTACAATAGTCATAAAGATCCCCCCACCCCACCCAATAATCATTAGCTACATAAGAATTCTACCTTCAATAGACAGGGGACAATTTTCCCACAAATCCTGGGTAGCTTTAAGGGTCCAATCAGTTCTCCTTTTTGGGTGTCGAGGGGCACAGACACTGACCTGGGCAATCTTGGCATCATCCTGCAGCTTCTTCAGCTTCCCCTCGTTGTTGAGAATAAACTCCTTCAGCAGCGTGTTGTGGTCATGCATGGTGTACTCCCTCTTGGTCAAGTCCATTCCCCTCTGGAGCTCCTTGACATCCAGTAAAACATTCTCAAGGGAGACTGAAGCAGAGAAAGCAACGTTCCCATGAACCTCAACGGGAAAAGTCAAAACCGCAGTGGGTCTGGCTGGCAAGCTGAGTTCTCAGTGGATTCCTAGGGTTACTCAAGGCCTTAGATCTCATTTCCAGCTTTTAGAGTAGAGATCTTTTAATATAAATAATTTACTGAGTGCTCACTATCAGGCACTGAACTAAATTGTTTACATGTAATAATTCATTTGTACCATTAGCCCATTTTACCCCCAAGGAAAAGCAGCATAAAGTGGTTAGTGGTCTGCCCTCGGTCACACAGCTGGGAGGTGGCAGAGACAGAGTTCAGATAACAACCATGGATGCCGGCTTCTGTGCTTTTACACAACTATTCCGTTTCTCTTACAGGAGATGGTGGCCTATTGGTTGGTCTACAGGGGTGAGATCTTAACACTTTGAACTCTTTGCATTTCTGTGGCTGTCCAGCAGGGGGTAGCATTTTACCTGTTGAACTTCAGTTGCATTGACCTCTCAGGCCTAAGACCGCCTTGGACAGCTTCTTTTTGTTGAACAGTCCTGCCCCGCCTCAGAAGGGTTTATTAGCATGACTCTTTCTGTGCGCGGCGGGGCCAGCTCCTAGAGCAGGCGGGCCCCTGAAGCCCCTGCAGCCCCTGCAGGAGGTCCAGGCCCCGGGTCTGGCTCCCTACTGCCTGACTCAGCGCTGCACATGGAGGGATTACACAAAAATGCAGTATGCTTTCCCCTCACTAGACTCACTAGACGAGACTGTCTTACTCATCTTTGACTCCTCAATGCGTAGGACTGTGCCAAGTACACAGCAGGGCCCCAAAAAGGTTCACTGGATCCACAAAGGAATGAGGGAAGGAACGAGAGAAGGTATAAGGATCCATGTCAGCTCACCAGAGCCCCAGGAAGTGAACACAGAAAACAATTCAGCCAGAGAGTTCCTCTATCTCCCCATTTTCCCCAACTAATGTTTTTTCAAATGACACTTTTGGGGTATCTCATTTGGGCCAAACAAAATGTGCTAATTATAATTAGTAAGGTAGGAATTTTTTGAAACTATTTATTTAATATTAGAATTGTGACACTAAAGAACACAAAGGAAAACTTGAAAGGTGCAAAATCCCCAGAAGAGAAATCCTGCTAACAGCCTAAGTGAGCCCTGACCCCATTAGACCTGTCACAGCCTGTACGGCAAGTCCTTCAGTTACAGTGTCATTTCCACCTGCCTCTCAGTCTCCATCACAGCTTCAGCCGCATCCATGCCAGTAATAGGGCCTCATTCATTCATTCATTCACTTGTTCAATCGCGCATCCTTTTGTTCATTTTCTCATGCATTTATTCCCACGATGAATTTGCCGGAGGCAAAATGATTATAAAGATAAATAACACTTAAACTCATACATACAAAGCACATTTTGGTGGGTGCCAGACTGGGGAGATGGGTGAAAAAGTTGAAAGGGATTAAAAAGTATAAATTGCCAGTTACAAAAATAGTCATGGGGATGGAAAGTACAGTACGGGGAATGCAGTCGGTACTACTGTAATAACTATGATGGTGTCAGATGGGTACTGGACTTATCGAGGTGATCTTTGTTGTACACCTGAAACTAATATAATATTGTATGTCAACTGTAATTGAAAAATAAATTTTAAAAAGATAAATAAAACTTGATTATGCCTGTAAGTACACAGGTTGCAGTGGACATGCAAACTGTTACAATAACCTGAAAGACTCAATTCAGTAAGTCTGAGGTAGGCCTCAGGAATATGAATTTGTAATAACCACCATATTTCATGATCATAATTTGGGAATCACAGTCTGGAGCTAACTCTGAGGTCAACTTGCATGTTGTTCCTCTTTCTAACCTAATATTCTTTTGAGAAGACATGGTACTTGGATGATACACTATACAAGAAGGCAACCTAGGTTCTAGGATTCTAGCTATGACTTGTGAGCCATGTGATGCTGAGAAAGACATTTAACCTCGAAAAAAGTCCATTTTCTCATTTCTAACATGGAGATACAAATACCTAGCACAGTCCAGCTATGTCAGAATCACTGATGATTTAAATGTGAAAATGCGTACTTGTCAGAGCAAAGTAACAACCAAGAAGTACTGATCATTTAACTTGTTTTCAGGCCAAACGCATGAGAAACATCACAAAATCAAAATATTTGTTGGGGGCGATTCTCAAATTCTCATTCTCTTATTTCCAAAAACAGCAACAGAATAAAAAGGGCAAAAAACAGAAGAGAGAAGGTGCATGAAGCTCAGAAAGCTGGACCTTTACAGAGAAGACAGTGAGAGAGGACATCTTTGTGTCCAACATCATTACTGCCCCCAGAAGGGGGCCCCACCATGGCCTGCGGACCCAGCTCAGAGCTGGAAGTTTTGGCCGTGCCTCTTTGAAGAGGTTCTGAAGAGCGTTTTTCTTAAGTAGGGAATGGTGTCCCCATGATGAAGGCATTCACTACCCAGGGGAAACATCGAGGGCTAAGGACCGGTACCTGCAGCAGCTTTCTCCACATAATGAAGCTCATTATAAAATAGGGACACTTGGTGATATTTTTCCTTTACAACGTTCGATATATAGTGCAGCAGCGTTTGCTTTCGGTCTGTTGACTTTGTATCTAAAAGCTGAAAACAAAACGAAATGAAGGTTAGAGTGAAAGGTGTGGGCGGTTCCCCCAGCAGATGACGCTCTCCCAGAGTGGGCAGCAGGGCACAGCCCCGACCTGGACCACAAACACTCCCGCGGCAGATTCAAGATTGGATGTGTTCTTTGATGAAGAGCCCGTGACTTTCAAATGACCAGAGGACTTCCTAGCCCGGGGAGATGCTCAACTCTAGGGATGGTTCTAGGCACCTAGAACTGTTCCCACACCTTCACTCACATGAGCGCCCTCACCCCCATCTGCTCTGCCACCTCTCCTGGCTTTAAAGTGGGGAAACCCCAGCCCCAAGGCTCTCCCAAGGGAAGGCCCAGAGCCACAGGGAGTGTGGAGCCGGCGGCAGTGCCCCGCACAGCAGGGCGCTTACGCTGCGCTCTTCACACCTAGCTCGGCCCTTCCCTTAGTCCCCAGCTTCTCCTGACCCGAATCAGATGTGCCTACTGAACCGTGACCTCCTGGGGGACAGAACTGTGACTAACTGGATGCTCCCTATCAAATAACTATGTCTTCCCTGAGGCTGCGGACTCAGCCCACTGCCCCACTTCCTCACACGGCAGCCACGCTCGCCCCACACTGCCTGGCGGGGAGGCTGCCATGCCGGGTTTTCTCCAGTCCCATTTACCGAAGTCAGGTGACCCTGCAGAGAGAGCGCCCTTTCCATCCAGGAAAAACACAAAACCTTTTAGTAAAGAAGCAGTTCCAAAAAAAAAAAAAAAAGAAATCCCTAATTCCATCTATTCTCTCAGTAAACACCTCAACATACTTCTATTCAGTTTTTTCTACCTATTTTACATAGCTAAAATTGAACTGTACATACAATTTATATATCCTGCTTTCTTTTCTCAACACGAAATTATCTGTTTCTTTGAAAATTAATTCTTCATAAGTATTCTAACAGTGGAAGAAGAGTTCACCATATTAACTACTGTTATACTGTATTTACTACTGTTATACTGTATACTGTATTTAATCATTCCCCAAATTCTTGGTTCTATACATTGTTGTTAATTATTTGCAATTATATTGCAGTGGCAGCCACCCTCCTTGATCGCTGGGCAGAGGCGACGGCAGAGTGGGCTGGTGCCTGGGAAAAGACTGGTGAGGAAAACTTTGTGACGAGAACTGAGACGGCGGCCGGTGGAGTCCCCGTGATAACTTACCTCCTACTCTGCAGCTACCATCTTGCTCAGGCAGAAGGGAATCAATGAACCTGCCTTTTGTGCGCTCCGCACACAGCTTGTGTGCGTGTGAGCTGGCGGGCTAAGTGCAGACAGGCTGGAAAAAATAGAGGATCCCTGGCCGAAGGGGTCACAGAGCTGCATAGAGCCTTAAGGAGAGACTGGAGACGGAAGTGTTGGGGAAAGAATGGAAGGAGGAACCGGGGAGTCCCGACTCCCTCCCCATTCCCTGGTCTCCATTTTGGGCAGGCAGGGTGCGCCCCCAAAGAGGCAGAAGTGGGGCGCGCATGAACCAGACTGCCTGCGATTGCAACACGGTCCGCACAATTAGTGGATCCTTGGCCGAAGGGGTCACAGAACTGCCTAGGGACCCCTGAGGAAAGACTGGAGACAGAGGTGTTGGGGAAAGAACGGGAGGAGGAACCGGGGAGTCCCGACGCCTTCTCCTTTCCATAGCCTCCATTGTGCGGGAACAAGCCACACCCCCCAAGAGCCAATAGCTGAAAAGCACACAACAGACAGCCCCAAACCACCCAGTACAGGCGCGCACACTCGCGTGGAGTGGCCGGCCAGGGTTGGTGAGCATGTGTGTGGACCTGTGCCGGCTGGTGAGGGCTCGCGGGGGCGGGCAAGGCCTCCCGCAGGGTGGGTGCCGATGGGGCCTGCGAGGGAGTGTGCAGATCGGCGAGGGCAGGCGGAAACCGACCCGCGCGAGCCGCGAGTGCAGAGCAGTCCACAGAAATAGTGGGTCCTGGGCCGAAGGGGTCATAGAGCTGCCCAGAGTCCCTGGAGGAGAGACTGGAGACAGGATTAACCGGAGGGTCCTGGAGCTGACTTCCTTCCATTTCCATAGTCTCCATTTGGCGAGGGCAAGCGATGCCCCCAAAGAGCCAAAAGCGGGGAAAGGCACACAATAGAAGACCCTAAACTGACCAGTGCCCGGGCGCCCACCGGGCGCGGGTGCTAGACAAGTGCACGAGGGTGGGCAAATAAGCGCCCAGGCCGGCTGGGGATCCTGTGGGGCTGGGTACCCTGTCTGGCTGGGGAGCACGCTGAAGGAGCCGGTGGGAGAGTACAAAGCGATCCACAGAAATAGGGGATCCCTGGCTGAAGGGGTCACAGAGCTGCCCAAAGCAGGAGTCAGACACAGACAGTAGACTCCTGGAAGGCTGAAACAAACGACCTAAGGTCATATAGGGGTCAACAACTGACATCATCAGAGGCAGGCCCAGAAAGAAAACTAAAGAAAAAACAAACAAACAAATAATAAATAAAAAGACCTGCCTACTACCATAGAAGTTTAATCCACAAAGTCAGGAAATCTAGATGGATCAATTGAAGCAGAAGCATAAATAAATAAAAATAATAGACTCACAAAAATGGAAAGAAAAAGAAGTTCCCCCCCAAATGAGAAGAAAGGAGGAATCCCCACAGAGAGAGCTAAATGAAATAGAGCAAGGGAACTATCAGATATTGAATTCAAAACAATGGCTCTAAGGAAGCTCAATGAGCTCAGCCAGCTCAAAGATAACTATGAGAAACTGCAGAGAGACTACCAGGATATTACAGTAAACTATAGCAACCTGGAAAAGGACATAGAAACTATCAAGAAGACACAAGAGGATATGAAGAATACCATTTCTGAATTGAAGAACACAGTAGAAGGAATCCAAAGCAGGCTGGATGAAGCTGAGGATCGAATCAGTGAGATGGAGGATAAGGTAGAAAGAAGCTCCCGGAAAGAACAAGAAATGGAAAAAAGACTCAAAAAGAATGAAGAGGCATTTAGGGAAATGCAGGACAACCTGAAACGCAATAATATCTGCATAATAGGGATACCAGAAGGAGAAGAAGAGGAGCAACAGATAGAGAACCTCCTCGAAAACGTAATGATGGAAAATTTCCCCAATTTGAGGAGAGAAAATGTCTCATGGATCCAGGAGGCACAGAGAACCCCACTCAAGAGGGACCCAAGGAGGTCCACTCCAAGACACATCACCATTAAAACGGCAACTATCAAAGACAAAGAGAATCCTCAAGGCAGCAAGGGAGAACGAGAAAGTAACATACAAGGGGGCCCCGATACGCCCAGGAGCTGACTTCTCAACAGAAACATTACAAGCCAGAAGGGAATGGCAACAAATATTCCAAGTCATGAAAAGCAACGGCCTACAACCAAGGCTGCTCTACCCAGCAAGGCTCTCAATTAAAATAGGAGAAATAATAAGTTTCCCAGACAAAAGAAGGCTAAAAGAATACATCTCTACCAAACCAGCACTCCAAGATATGCTAAAGGGACTGGTTTAAGAAGATGAAGGAAAAGAGTGAGAAAGAGAAAAACACACGTACAAAGAGAAAAAATGAATAGGTTTCTATCAGTAATAACTCTCAATGTAAATGGACTAAATGCCCCAATCAAAAGACACAGGGTAGCTGAATGGATAAGAAAACATGACCCACACATATGCTGCCTACAAGAGACCCACCTCAGAGCAAAAGACCTACACAGATTGAAAGTAAAGGGATGGAAAAAAATATTCCAAGCAAATGGGCAAGAGAAGAAAGCAGGAGTTGCAATACTTATATGAACAAAATAGATTTCAAAACAAAGGCCATAAAAAGAGACCCAGAGGGACACTTTATAATACTTAAAGGAAGAATCTATCAAAAATACATAAACATTATAAACTTATATGCACCCAACAGAGGGGCTCCCAAGTATATAAGGAAAATCTTGGATGACTTCAAAAAAGATACACACAGCAACACACTGATAAGTAGGGGATTTCAACACCCCACTGACAAAAATGGACAGATCTTCCAAACAAAACATCAATAAGGATATTGTGGAGCTGAATGACACACTGAATCAAATAGACTTAACTGACATATATAGAACCTTACATCCCAAAGAAGCAAAATATACATTCTTTTCAAATGCTCATGGAAGTTTTGCAAAGATAGACCACATGATAGGACACAAAGCAAGCCTCAGCAATCAGGAAAACTGAAATAATGCCAAACTTTTTCTCGGACCACAAGGGCTTGAAACTGGAAATCAACCTCAAAGAGAAACTTCAAAAACTTGCAAACTCATGGAGACTGAACAGTAGACTATTAAACAACGAATGGGTCAATAATGAGATAAGAGAAGAAATCAAAAAATTTCTGGAAACAAATGGAAATGAACAGACAGCAGTCCAAAACCTATGGGACACAGCAAAGGCGGTCCTGAGAGGGAAGTTCATAGAAATACAGACCTACCTAAAAAAGACAGAAACATTTCAAATAAAAGACCTAACACTACAACTTCAAGAACTGGAGAAACAACAACAAATAAATCCCAGAGCAAGTAGAAGGAAGGAAATAGTCAAGATTAGAGCAGAACTGAATGACATAGAGATGAAAAGAACAATTCAAAGGATCAACCAATCCAGGAGCTGGTTCTTTGAGAAGATAAATAAAATTGACAAGCCTTTAAGCAGACTCATCAAGACAAAAAAGGGAGAGGACCCAAATTAATAATATCAGAAATGAAAGAGGAGAAATAACAACTGATACGACAGAAATACAAAGGACTGTCAGAAACTACTATGAACAATTATATGCCAAGAAATTTGAAAACCTGGATGAAATGGACAAATTTCTAGAGAAGTATAATCTTCCAACACTGAAGGAGGAAGGAACAGAAAGATTGAACAGACTGGTAACAGCTGGGGAAATTGAAGCCGTCATCAAGAAACTCCCAGCACACAAAAGCCCAGGGCTGGACGGTTTCACAGGAGAATTTTACAAAACATTTAAGGAAGAGATTACTCCTGTCCTTCTCAGACTATTCCAAAAAATCCAAGAGGAGGGAAGACTCCCAGACTCTTTCTATGAGGCCAGCATCACCCTGATGCCAAAACCAGATAAAGACCCTACAAAGAAAGAAAACTACAGGCCAATTTCACTGATGAACAGAGCCGCTAAAATCCTCAACAAAATATTGGCAAACCGCATCCAGCAATATGTTAAAAAGATTATCCACCACGATCAAGTGGGATTCATTCCAGGGATGCAGGGATGGTTCAGTATATGTAAATCAATAAACGTAATACATCACATAAATAAAAGAAAAGACAAAAACCACATGAGCATCTCGATAGATGCAGAAAAAGCATTCGATAAGGTACAGCACCCATCTATGATCAAAACACTCAGCAAAATGGCAATAAATGGGGCATTCCTCAATGTAATAAAGGCCATATAGGAAAAACCTACAGCAACATCATACTCAATGGGCAAAAACTGAAAGCTTTCCCACTAAGATCGGGACGACCACAAGGATGGCCTCTTTCACCGCTTCTATTCAAGATAGTATCGGAAGTCATAGCCACAGCGGTCAGACAAGAAAAAGAAATAAAAGGCTTCCAAAAAGGAAAGGAGGAAGTAAAGCTATCATTGTTTGCAGATGACATGATAGTATACATAGGAAACCCTGCATACTCTACCAAAAAACTCCTCAACCTAATAAGTGAATTTGGCAAAACAGCAGGATACAAAGTCAATATTCAGAAATCAAAGGCATTTTTGTACACCAGCAATGAAATAGAAGAAGAAGAAATCAGAAAAAAAAATCATTCGATATAGCAAGAAGAAAAATAAAGTACCTAGGAATAAATTTAACCAAAGAGGTAAAAGACCTGTACGCAGAAAACTATACAACATTGAAGAAAGAAATTAAGGAAGACACAAATAAATGGAAGCATATACCGTGCTCATGGATTGGAAGAATTAATATCATCAAAATGTCCATACTATCCAAAACAATTTATAGATTCAACGCAATCCCTATTAAGATACCAATGACGTATTTCACAGAAATAGAACAGACATTTCAAAAATTTATATGGAACCATAAACGACCCTGAATAGTTGCAGTAATTTTGAGAAAGAAAAACAAAGTAGGAGGGATCACAATACCGGACATCAAACTCTACTACAAAGCCACTATACTCAAAACAATCTGGTACTGGCACAAGAACAGACCCATAGACCAGTGGAACAGAAGAGAAAGTCCAGAAATAAGCCCAGATCTATATGGGCATCTAATATTTGACAAAGGGGGCAGAAGCATAAAATGGAGCAATAACAGCCTCTTCAACAAATGGTGTTGGGAGAGCTGGACGGCTAAATGCAAAAAATTGAAATTGGATCATCAGTTGACACCATACACACAAATAAACTCAAGATGGATAAAAGACTTAAATATAAGTCGCAACACCATCAAAGTCCTAAGAGGAGAACATTGGCAGGAAACTCTCAGATATCCCACGCAGCAATTTTTTCACTGATATGTCTCCTAAAGCAAGGGACATAAAGGAAAGAATAAACAAGTGGGACCTCATCAAAATAAGAAGCTTCTGCACGGCTAAAAAAAACATCAGCAAAATGAAAAGGGAGGCAACTCTATGGGAAAATATATTTGCTAATGATACATCAGATAGAGGTCTGATCTCTAAAATATATAAAGAACTCACTCGACTCTACTCCAAGAAGACAAATGATCCAATCAAAAAATGGGCAAAGGACCTGGGCAGACGCCTTTCCAAAGAAGAGATGCAGAGGGCCCAGAGACATTTGAGAGGATGCTCGGCATCACTAGCCATCAGAGAAATGCAGACCAAAACCACAATGAGGTATCATCTGACACCGGTCAGAATGGCCATCAGAAACAGATCTGCAAATAACAGGTGCTGGCGAGGCTGTGGAGTAAAGGGAACACTCGTACACTGCTGGTGGGAATGCACACTGGTGCAGCCATTGTGGAAAGCAGTGTGGAATTTCCTCAAAAAGCTGAAAATGGAATTGCCTTTTGATCCAGTGATTCCCCTGCTGGGACTATACCCTAAGAATCCCAAAACGCCAATTCAAAAGAACCTATGCACCCCAATGTTCATAGATGCACCATTTACAATAGCCAAGTGTTGGAAGCAACCTAAATGCCCATCAGTAGAGGATTGGATCAAAAAACTATGGTACATTTACACAATGGAATACTATGCACCAGAAAGAAAAAAAGAACTACTAAACTTCACGACAGCATGGATGGAACTAGAGAGCATTATGCTAAGCGAAATAAGCCAGGGGGCAAAAGACAAATACCATATGATCTCACCTATAAGCGGAACCTAACCAACAATACAAAGATGCAAGGAAAATAAGACCAGCAACACTGAAAGGAAAAGAAACCAACAGAGACAAGAGGGAAGTGGGGAGGCGGGGGAAAAGGAAGGGAAGGGGGAAAGTCAAGGAACATATAGCAAGCACTCATGGACAAAACCAAAGGGGGAGAGTTGAGGGAGGGTGGGAGGGAGGGAGGAGGCAAGGGAAAGTGGTGGGGGGAAGGCAGAGACAAACGTATTTGAAAAAATAAATAAATTTAAAAAATTATTTGCAATTATAAATTAAATATAGCATCCAGCATTCGGACTCCTGAGGATAGATTCCTAGAAATGGAAATAGTAGGGCAAAGGGTATAGTATTTTTAAGGTTCTAAGTGCGTGATGCCAAATGGTGTTCCAGAAACTGTGTACCAACTGGTCCTCCCACTAGCAGAGAATCATCAAAACATCCCACCCCACTTCTAAGAGCACACACTCGCCACTCCAGGGCTTAATCTTTGCCAGCTGTTTCATCCCTCGTATAGCTCTTGCATTTCTTTTAGTCTACTCACCAGATCTAAGCTCTGAAGTTTAAATCCATAAACCGCTCCTCGTTTACTGCTGTTCATATAGTTCCCTAGGGCCAAGATGATCTGCAAAGACAGAGAGCAAGCCAAGAGAAGCCCGTCAGCACAACTCCCGGCAGAGAAATGCGGCAGGCCAGTCAGCTCTTCCATACACATACACATACACATACACATACACATACACATACACATACACATACACATACACATGGAAAACGTCACTTGCCTCCAGAATTTTCTTGAGTTTTTGAGATGACTTTATAGAGACAGATGCTGCTATAATTGAGTGCAGTTGCTAGATTCCAGTCAAAGGAGGGCAGGGGAGAAAAAAAGAAAAAGATGTTACAAATGGGCAGCTAATTGGAAGCTAAAAATTAACACAGAAGAAAGCAGGCCTGCATTTAGACCTTAAAGCCTTAATGCTGAGATTCTATTTTTCCTAAACATAAATTCAAGTTGTCTTAGGTGACCATGTAATTACATGCAAGCTTCTCTCTAAAAATAAGAAGTAACATCAAAACTTGCTTATCAGAAAACCTACAAGCAATGAGACTCACTCAACAGCATCTTCTAGCAGAACTCAATTCCCTGCCCTTTACCTCTAGCCATGTAATACAGTTTATACTTTTGAATCAATGGGGCTGTCCAAGAATGAAAACAAAACAGCTAAGGAATATAACCACCCCCCAGAAGCTCTCAGGATATATTTTGAACAGACGTACTATTATAATTTATTAACAAAAGTCTATTTAGAAATAGAACTGGGAAAGAACTTTTTATGATGTTTATGATATTCCTAAGTCTCTACCAGATTAACACAAAGGAACAAGAGGCGGTTGGCTATTACTTCTATGCCACTACTATGTGCTGTAACAAACTTCCAAGGAACCAGATGCCTACGATACATTTAATGCTTCCAATGAAAGCCAAAAACTTGTTCACTAAAGGCACGGGCTCGTTTTTGGAAATGAAAGTCACATTTTCAGTCTTGCCAGCCCAACCAGAGATCTCGTATCTGCAGGAGGGGACTGAAAATTTGAGGGAATCATTTTCCCTTGTCCTCTGTACTGACGTGCACTTTAAAATCCAGAGGACCCCTGCAGACACAGAAAAGGGCGTTCTCTAGGGAGAATGGCAACAGGCAAAATGGAAAGTCACCCTTTTCAGATTTACTCGGCATACACAGTAGGAAAAGGATGGCTGAAGTAAAAATGGAATCTGGAAAGCTCTAGGAAGTAGTCTTTAGAGCCCATGACACTAAGTACAATTCTGAGAGAGACTGAAACAAGCAAAAACGATTCTATGTCTCGTGGGACCTCCTCCCCTGCCAGTCGGTCCACTCACAGGAGTCAGCATCTGAATGCTTTCAGCAAAGTTCCCGATGAAGGCCATGATGGTCATCTTCTGCAGGAGCCTCTCGATTTTACTGAACTGCATCATGAACCGGTCTTCATCTGACAAGTTCTCCACAGGCTTCCTTTCTCGCTCATAGAGCCGGAGCACTTTCACCTCATTCTCAGTTGGCAAGAACCTCATTAAACATTCTACAAAGTCTACGGGCAGTGTCTTCAAGTCAAATCTGAGGACAGATGTGGACCTGTCAGTGTTAGGCAGAAAACCCCCAGCCCTTTCAGCCATACCCCCATCCGGTTCAGCTCATAAGACACCAAGTCAGTTCTTCACAGCTGGATGGTGAGGACGCTCCAGTGGTACTGGCCGCTGACTATGCATCAAGCACCCTCATTGGTCCTTCCTGAAAACTGGGACCTTATCACATCACCATACCAGTTTCTAAGCTGTTAGCATAGCTCTAAACCTCTAGAACTCAGCAGTGAATGACAGCAGGAAGAGACAGAGGGAGGCTGAAGCATCTGATGGTTAAGTCATTCAAGGACATGGTTTTTAGGAATGCTATATACTGCTAATTATGAGATTAATATTACATACACAATTACAGGATATAGGGTGAACTTTGTAAAATATTTCAATTAAACCAATAACCTGGTATATATTTTCTTCTTTAGGAAAAAAAATGCATCCAAATGCCTGTGCCATATGGATATTTTGGCTTAATTGTATACATCTCTTGGAGGAATACCGGGTTTGTGTGGATGTATACTCAGTTTGAACAAAGAAAGTATCTGCTACAATCTCTACTATCCAGACAATCTTTGTGTAGAAAAATAATATAATAATATTTAATCATCATGACAAATAAGGTATATAAAAATTAAAAACCAAAATGCATATCAGGTTTCAACATCAGAAATTAGAACAGACTGTAGGATGCATGAGACTATTAGATTATGATGCTGGCTGAGGATATAAAATTGGAGCAAATGCTTTCTCAGGGCCATTTACTGCTGTAAGAATCCCTGATCAAAACTGATGAAATGCCAATTTACAATGACTTAGTTCCTAAAACATCTAATAACATCCTTGTCATATTTGAAAGTGACCATGACCATAAGAATAGAAATATTCTTCTAATAGAAAAGTAAATAAAACCAGTGCCTTCCCTGCCATGCAAGGATAAAAACAAAACAAAATAAAACAAACAAAAAAACACTGAACTTTGTTTAAAATGTCCTGGCAGCACTAGAAGCAACAGCAATCACATTACTATTGTTATAAATTAAAATATGCATCTGTATTGTAAGTACATCTGACATCAAACTTTGTCATCCATCAATGCCATCAAATTTGTATTCAACAAGTCTGACTAAAATTCAGATAGTCCAGAGGAAACTGACATTTACTTCCTTTTTTTAGCATCTGCAATACTCCACTCAACTTTCCTTTTATGTAAGCTTTGCTGTAGATCTACATAAGAGAACAGATCAAGCTAATAAATATCACAATTCCATTGTTATTCTTCTAAAACTATTATAATTACTCATTCTAATATGGCACTCCCAAGAGTAATTTCTGGTCTACCTCTTTTAGGTTAACATTTTATTAAACTCTAAAGTTGCATATATGTACCAAAAAGATTCTCTGATGTGTGGATATCAAGAATTGCCCAATCTTTTATCTTAGATCTGGCTTCACTACTGAACTATTTCTGTCATCTACCGATGCATAAGTTTCTTGTTTTGATCCTAAGTGTACTAAAATATTGTTTTCCAGAATGCTTTGAACTTACACATGAATAGCTTTACAGATCTCATCAGCGGTCTTGCCAGCTTTCCTTAAGGTTATGGCGAGGTTTTTGGCCCTATTTGCTTCCAGTAACGTCACTTTGTTGGATCCCTTCTGTGTTATCTTCTGTTTGCTTGAAGAAAGGTCAATGGCAGGGCCTTGGGCTTTTGTCTTAAAAATTTCCTCAAATTCATCCACATTCAAATCCTGGGGTAGAGCGGACAAATGGATTATACTTAAAAATTAAGTCAGGAAGCCCCCACTTAGACAGTTTCTTAATTGACAAAGAACTTACTTTTTCTTTTCAATACTTGTCTTTGGCCATGGCTAGCTCTATCTTCCTATTTGTGTTTAAGTGTGACTTATGCCACATATACAGACATGAATGTCTAAAGTAGACAACGGATCCCAACCAGCCCATTCAAATGCCTTTCAATAATTCGTTTGCAGGGAAGGCCACCACAGACTAAAACTATCCATCAAACCAGCTAGTGAGTATAATTTTTAAGTTCTTATTCACTAATAATTTAATAAAGAGTTTTATGCTCTTTTATAAGTTAATGGCAGATACTGTGTCAGATATATATATATATGAGGTCTGTCCAGAAAAACTGCAGCCATTAATAACATAATGAGAACAGTCTGCACAATGTCAATCTAATCTGGCAGCCAAGGAGAGTGGACTGGAACACACATGTGTGAACAATGGCAACTTCACTGTACTAGTCAGTGGGGACGGTAAACGTCATTGAGCAAGCATGTGTACAGTGTAGCTGTCACATTCAAAGTCACTGAATGAGTACAGCAATAAATCTGCATCAAATTTCATGTTAAGCTTGAACATTCCTCTGTGGAAAGTATTAGGATGGTTCAGAAGGCAGCAGTTATGGACCACTGGTGACTGGCAGCTTCATCACGACAATGTGCCTACTCGTGTGTCATAACTTATGCAGAATTTTTTGGCAAGACATCAAATCACCCAGGTGACTCAGGTCCCTACAGCCCAGATTTGGCGCCCTACAACTTCTAGCTTTTCCCATAACTCAAACCACCTTTGAAAAGGAAGAAATTTCAGACCCTGCACGAGATTCAGGAAAATACGACAGGGCAGCTGATGGCGATGAGGAGAACCATGTGAGGTCCCAAGGTGCCTACTTTGAAGCAGACTGAGGTGTCTTTGTCCTATGTACAATGTTTCTTGTATCTTATATCTTCTTCAATAAATGCCTCTATTTTTCATATGACATGGCTGCATACCTTCTGGACAGACTAAATGTGTGTGTGTGTGTGTTTGTGTGTGTGTGTAGTGGCATATACTGATGATTCTCAAAAGTATTTCGTTTTAACATAATTTTTTAAACAGAATTTAGAATCACCTTACAAAGTACTGTCCAATTTTATTCTCTGATATTATATATCTTTTTTTTCTTTACATCAAAGCACTTAAAATACTAGCACTTTAATCAACTGAAATTTCAAGAATAACAGCACACCCATTTTGGCTTTGTTGCATAGAGAAGGCCCCGTGTGTCTAACCAACCAGAAAGATACCTCCAGTATCCGCTCGTCGTCAATTTCATTGAAGACTGTGCCATTGATCTGATTTGGCTTCAGGGCAACCCAGTTAAAAACTGGCATTCTGAATTTTGTCTTGATTGGCTTCTTAATTTTCACAGCTACAGCAGTCAGAGAGAAGGAAATTAAGATTCCATCAAGACCTCCTGACCCTTAAGAATAATCAGACAACAGTCCCTGCAGATGACACTTTGACACTGGAGGAAGGAGGCAAGAGGCACCCAAGTGTTTTAAAACATCACACATGGCTCTGGCCAGAGCAATCGGAGGTCTTCATTTGATTGACTGATACAACATTGTGTAAAAGTTATCTAAGAGCCAGGGGCAGATTTTTTTTTTTTAATGCATCAGCTGTTTGCTGTATTACAGTAACAATGTTAGGACAATGCTTAGGACAAATAAAGAACTAGAGAACAAAAATTATTATTAATATTACTAGAGAGCAGAGAGGGCAAATACTCTGTGTGACTCAGTTTGATATTGATGAGCATTAAGTCCAGTTTTGACATACTAAATTCTTGGTTCTAGAACACATATCTCCAAACAAATCTTAAAAGATGATTGAAGATTGCAAACGGTGGCTCTCTAAACCACCAGGAATGTAACATCAAGAATGGTGACTCTCAGCCAAAGCAATACATTCCCGGGGATGACTTCGATGATGGGGATTATACTGGCTCCTGAGTTATTTCAAACAGACAAAGGGCCATGCATGGCCCCACACAGAAAATGTTTAAGACAGAAGGGGACTTGGAAATCAGGATTTGTATTGCTTTTTGAGAATGGCCACAGTCCCTTCTGTTTCCTCAGAGGTCAACTGTGTGTGACTAGAAGGCGTGGATGAACTCACTAAAAATACTGAAAACTTCTTAATAGAGAGGGAAGGCTCTATCTCTGAGGGGTCAAGGGGTCCGTGCCAACTCCTCTTACTTCGGGGAAATGAGCAAAAGAAGGCAATTCATTAAAAATTCCATTAACTAATTTGCATTAGTTTGATGGAATTGCATATCATAAAGAAGTCTTCCCAAACCATTTAAAGTTATATATATTCTGCTTCTTAAATCTGTCCTGGGATGCCCACCATGCTGTTTGGGAGCTTTGCCGTTGCCATGATTAGCAAGGGAAGAAGAGGAACTTCACTGCAGAACAACAACAACAAAAACACAAAACACAAAACACACCTGGGCTTTTACCTGGCTGCCTGCCTCGGTGGGAGGTAACTGGAAGGGGGAGGCAGGCAGCTCCTCTCATTCCTCCAGAGTTGCAAAGGCCATACAGTAAACAGCAGGAATGTCCTCTGATAAACCGACACAAAAGCATGCAGCAACACAGAAACACAGCTCTGTCAAACCAGGCCTTTCCACTACCAAAGGTGACACCTTAGTTTCTGCTACCCAACAGTGTTGGATTCCTTGCTGGACTGCCTTTTTGCCTATGCTGCCCAGGAAAACCCATGTCCTTCAGGAGAGGGAGGATCAGACCTTCCTCTCAGAGGCGGGGACCGCAGTGATTTTGAGGGGGAAGAGCAGGGATCAGAGGAAGGGGCTGCGCAGGGATGTTTTCACAATCCGAGGTGAAAAGCCAGTGATATTTGGTTCCACCAGTCGTCCACAGGCACTGCAGGCCTCGGGACACTCACTGAAAGTCATTTTTTTTGCAGCCACCCTACCTTTTTTAGCAAGATTAGGAATAAGCCTGAAATCAGAACACAGGAAAAAGAGTTCTTTTCAGGAAGGTTGTCCTGACTTTGGGGAACGGATGATGGTGGGGGAGGGGAAAGGCAGTCAGGGGAGGACCTTTAGCCTGAACACCGTATATCAAGGTCACCCAAGGTGACTGTGCAGGTGACCTTGATATACGGTGTTCAGGCTAAAGGAGGCCAGTGGGAGGGAAGTGGAAAAGCGGCACCCAGTAGCTTTTCCTTGTTCTGTGGAGCTTTCTTTTTTCTCTCAGAATAAATCCAAAATCCTTCTAGAGCTGAGGCCTTAGATCCAACTGTGAAAATTAAACAGAAAGGGAAGAAAAAAAACAGTCCTTTTCTTGGGAGGGAAGGGATGTGGTACATGACAGAGGATGTCTGTTTAAAGGGCCATAATCTCTTCTACAGGTTCAACTAAGAAGTGCGGGCAAACCTGGAATAACAGTCAGCCAACACCAAGACTTCCCGCAGACACAAAGCCAAAATGCAATGGGTCAATGTAAGATGGAGTGGAAGATGCCAAGGCACAGTGTGACCAACAGGAGCACAAGGCAAATACTCAACACACTCAGTGAGGAGCAACCTACAGAAAAGCTTGATTGGCCCATCTTTTGTGGAAGCAGAAAGAACAAAGGAAATACAAAAAAAAATTAGATATGGTTAGAGTCAAGTGGCTCAGCAGGTGACACACTCTTCATATGGAATTTCATGCTTCTCGGACACATTTCCCGAGGCAGCGCAGAGTCAAAAATTCATTTCCCTTCAGGCCTTCCTTGAAGACTCATTTGTTTTCTTTTAAAAAATAATCCTTTTTAGAAGAGGGGAAAAAATGGTTTCATTATAGTGGTCCCAAACAGCCATATTCAACTGTGCTAAGTCTTCCTTATGATATGAACAATTTTTTAATGAAAAATAATCAGCCAGGGTTCACATTCTCAGTATGAAGTTCCAAAGCACATTCTGCCATAGAGGCAGCAAAGGTGCAGGCTGCCCAGCGGTCTCTTGCAGATGAACTAACGAGGAAATGGGAGCCATGTCGATCTAGCACAGATCTGAGGAAGTAAACCATACACTTCAAATGCACATTTCACGCCACTATTTCCTCTATAAATGCAAAGAAAACTCAAGTAAATTAAGGGACCTCTTCCTGGTCCCCGGCTTGGCCACCAAGAACACACTTGCTCATTGGCTGGGAAGATACCCTTTTGCCTATAGATCCAGGGACCTAGTCAGGTCACAGGTTTCTAGCCCTCCTGGAGCCCTTGGCATATCATCTCAGCTTTGTCTCTGGCTCTGCTGGGACATCTTTATTCTGTCTGGCATTTGCTTCCAGAGAAAGAGAGAAAGACAGCTACTGAAAGCGCTGGTAAAACATCCTACCACATGGGCTAGAACCGCTAAGCATTAACGGCCAAATTAAAGATAAGTCATGAAAAGAGATTAAAGGTCTTATAGAAATGGTCTGATGTCAAGCTACCAAACACTCATAAGGGGTCTTATAATTCTTATATCATGTAAAACAGAACATCCTATAATTGTTTAAAGGTCACTTACAGCGCTGAAGAGGAGTTTCTTTAGTTCCACTTACATTCTCTAAATTGCATAGAACACAAAGGGGACAAGTTTCAATCGTACCGACTCTAAAGGGGGCAGTGGGTAGATGGCCTGCGGAACAGAGTTCCACACCACAAAACTGAGGGAAGCAATGGGGCCAACAAATTTTTAAAAGTAAGTAGGCAAAAAAATAAATAAATAAAAAATAACCAGAGAGGGCAAGGCTCCTTCAGAGGGACCCTGGACCTACACATCAGAGCCTGGTGGCTCTTTCACTCTGCCAGGGCCGGTCTGAGTTCCGCGTTAGAGCTCAGGGAACGCGCGTGGGGGCCGCAGCACATGTGAGGTTTCGCCAGGGAGGAAGGAAGCAGGACCACAGGAGAGACACCATGGCAGCCATCTCTCGCGGTGCGCAGCTCAGGGGCCAGGCCGGGCCAGTGAGCCCCGTGCACAGGACAGTGACAGGTTTTCACACTCGGTCACTTGAAAACAGTCTGTTGATGGGACAAATTCCTGGGGCTGCTTAAGAGGTTTGTTTGTTTGTTTACACTCCAAAGGCCAACTGTTCCACGATGACATGCTTTCAATTCTTGTCCTTCAGAAGCAATAAAGGTTCTAGAAGAAAGCGGTAGATGGGAGACCCTGAAAGGTTAAAACAAGTCACTGGTTTACTGCAAACGTTGCTTTAAACAGGCACCTTGTTTGTGACTTTGACGGTTTTACAGAAGTTGGGGTGGAAGTAAACACCACAGATTTGATGTGAGACAAGTTTGCCGTGGGTGGCTTTTTGGTGTCCAGAGGGTTACAGTCGCCAGGATGAATCAGCCCTAGAGACCGGCCGGGGAAGCTGGCAGGATGGAGACCCTGCAGGATGGAGACTCAGAAATCCTTTACAGCTCAGGCTGTCTGGGCAAAAGGCTCCGAGAGCCACTGCGGCCTTGGAAATGGGGACCGGTGGAGGGGTAGCTCTTCAGCAGAAATAAGAGACCTCACAAGGACTGCAGTGGATGAGGAAGCAGAATTGCCCGATGTCACCCGGATAGCATGGCATAGCTCAGAGCGGCCCAAAAGCCAGGAAAACATTCTATGGCCTAGAAAATGGCTTGCAGTATTTTAGAGAAGAGTAAACTTTAATTTTGGTGAGTCAAAAATAAGAACTTACATTTCAAGGCATTAGTGCAACTGTCTTCCTCTTGCTCACACCCACCCTGTTTTATTTCAGGTGAGGTAAGGGTGCTGCATTTTGTCCTGGTTAGCAGGAAGACGATGTGTATAATTTGGAAGCATTTCAAGGCATGGAGATACTGCTGTTGGCAACGTTTTGCCTTGAAGCTTAATTGTACTGTAGTGAATTCTGATGTCCTCAAAAGCTCAAATGCTCAGAAGAAATGTCTGGAAGCCTACATGTGGCAATTACACAAAAGGGCACTTTCCCCCTTTTTAGGTGACATTGCAAATACCTTCAAGGTATAAAGAGACACAAGCACCGGAAGCACTTTGTGTTCGAGCTTTGACCACTACAGATGTCCAGAACTGTTTGCTGAACCTGTGAAAATGCACTGATCCCTAAGAAGGAACTTGTCTCTCTTCCCTTCTCTAGAAGGTGCTAAGACAGTGTGAGATCAGAACCTCCTGCTGGGGAGAGAGGGAAAAATCTATTCAGAGAAAAATGCCTCCTGTGCACCACAATTTTCCTGTATATTAGCAGGATTGTTCTTATATGAAGAGGAGATACATGTAACTTTAAGAGACTTGGACTTTGAAAGAATGGCTTTAACCCTCCAGAGTTAAAACAAACAAGTATTTCTTATGCAAATACCTGGGTCTTAATTCTGTGCTCTTACCTGCTAATCCTGAGTTGAAAACCACTGTGGGTGAAGACGTCCCAGGCAGCGGAGGTGCAGAAGGAGGAAGCGGGGGTGGTAAAGGAGGAGCGGGCGCAGTCTCGGCTGCAGGACCCGGCAGAGGTGGAGGCAGGGGAGGGGGTGGAGGCGGCGGGGGAGGGGGAGGGGGTGGAGGCGGGGGTGGCATCGGTGGTGTTACTGGACCATTTTGCACTGGCAAAAGAAAAGAAACAAATTGACTTTGAAAATAGGAGCATGGTTTTTCCTGCAACATGTCAGGTGCACATGGAGTATCAGAAAACAAACCCTGCAAAGGAAAAAGGAGTTTTTCAAAGACTATAAAATTTGTCAATGAGGAATATCCTGCAACATATGTGAAATGAAGACTCACGACCTCAGTCTCAAAATGAAAAAGTTCTTAAAATTAGTAAGTAAAAGAACATGCCAACAAAAGCGAAGGATATAAATGACAGTGGGTTAAAACTAACTAAATAAATACAAATACCCCCATACCACCTCAGTTCTCGTGCCAAGGCTTCTTACCTGCTTCGGGTGAGTCTGATGACGGAGGTAGTGGTGGGGGAGGCGGGGGCAAGGGTCCTGAGCAGGCGGCCCCTGTTATTGGTCCCACAAAGTTACCCACTGCCACTTCTGACCCGGAAGACAATGTGCCAGAAGCCACAACTGGCAGTATGGCGATGTCCCCATCCCCTTTCTTCTGAATTTTAATGGTCCCTTGTTTCTCCAGTTCATGAATCTTTTTTTCCAGGGTAGACTGTCTTTGAATAGCTTCTTCTTTTTCTTTGACCATTTTCCTTAACGTGTGAACCTGGGTGTTTGCATCTTTGTAGATTTCCTGCAAAAGAGTCCATGGTCAAGAGTCTGTCTTCGCATGACATGCATGCCTCTTACCATCAGATTGGCGAAACAAGGATACAGAAAATAACCACACACACAGAATAGGAAAAGTATACTCATACACAGGAATTCTATGGAACTCAGCCAGAACCTATAAAGTCCCATTCATTACCATTTGTTCACTGGTAATGCATGTAATATATGTTAGCAATTCTTATTGTTAATGTGGTTCTTCCCAATAATAAATGCGGCTAACTCGATTTTCCCTGCAGGTGGAAAGAAACAAGGCAGAGATGACTCAAAAATGGTTTTATAGCCGGCTTTGAGCTGCCCTGGGGATATTCTGGTGCTGTAGAGTGTTTTCCTTTCAGTTATTTTAAAATTCATTTTAACTCCTAGACACATATCAGCTAACAGTAGACAAAAGGGCCCTAAATCAGACTTGGATAGAAGTCAGAGTGGGATTAAAAATCTGCAAAGCACGGGATAATCTAGCGGTGAGTAGCCAGGGGCTGACTGTCCCTGAACGGACCTCTCTGGCCTTCACAATGTCCCCTTGACCAAGCTCCGGACAGCGATTGTTGTAACATTCTCCCTTTGGTAATGCAGCTAACAACACAGGCCGAAGCTTCCCTCCACGAAGTGCTTATTTCTGTCTAGGTTTTTAGCAGAAAACAAAGAAGTTACAATTTTCAATTCAAAGGCCGTCCTTGTTCCTTTTATAAGGGGCTCACGGAGGTTCCAGTGAGAGTTTTTATGGAACTTACTTGCTGGGCCTCGGACATGGGATCTCTCACCACAAACCTCCAGCAGGCAGGGAAACATTCTTCACACCCTGTCCATTATTAATAATCTGAGATTCTGAACTTGAATTGAGTCCATATGCTACAGCTTTGCCTCGATGGCGTGCCAGAAAATAAATTTCCTAGAGTTAACTGTAGGACATGTCAGAATATCAAGCAACACACACAGACATGATAACCATCGCATAAAATGTGCCATTTCATTAACGGTGGTGTAAAGGCAAGCCATTTGCCTGAAAGCCTTCCAGGCATTTTAGTGGTTTTATGTTCTGTACAATTCTAAACACACGGACGGACTCCATAAATACCTGATGCATAAGGTAAAACAATGCTAATGCCAAAAAAAATAGCTGTGATTATCTGATAATAAAATGGATTGGTTTTGCTTTGCCTTTTTTCTTTCCTTGCCTTTTTTTTTTGTTTCCTTGTTTCCTTCCTTCCTTCCTTCCTTCCTTCCTTCCTTCCTTCCTTCCTTCCTTCCTTCCTTCCTTCCTTCCTTCCTCCCTTCTTTTGGTGAATGCCATTAGGTCTCGCCTGTGTTGTGCTTTCACCATTTCCATGGCAACCACCAAAATCGGGTTTCAAGTAGAAGCAAAGCAAACAAAGAAATGTAAGGTCTATCAAAAATACATAAGTGGCATGAATTAAATCCATGCTGTGTTTTTATTTCCATCCAAATGGGAGATCCACATAATCAACTCCGACTTGTCCAGATGGGAAAATATTGTTGCTCCCCAAACCTGTGATAAGAACATACGGAACCCCAACCCTTTGATTGCACGCACATGTGTACACAGACCATAACAATGTGTACTTTTCTTTGGAGTATCACCTCTGAAACAGTTCCAATCACCACGCTACATCAACGCGTCCCTCTGACATGAGCGCACTACTAGAGCGCACTACTGGGGCCGGAGCGTACTGTCCGCAACGGCCATCTGGGCTGGCTGTCACCCTCACACTTACTCGAACAACATCCAGCTCCTTGTTCCTCTGCATGAGCTGCTTTTCCAGTTCCACGATCTTCGACATGGCTTCATTCTCTGTGTCTTGCAGTTTTTCAGACAACTGTAAAGTTTTCAAAGGGAAGCTGCGTCACAACACAGGATCATTCTGATCAGGTTCTCGGTTCTCAGAAAGCAGGGCTCGAAGGCCATAAGGGGCCCATCAGAGCTCTGCATGTGTTCCGCAAGTTGCTCTCTGGAAACATTAATATTTATAATATGGTTCTGGATACATGTTTGTTTCTAAAGTGAATTAATTTTTATGAGATCCTTAATAAAACCCATACATCTCTTCCTTAGTGTTTCCACATAAACAGTGTGCCTCTCTCCATTTCAGCTGGGGCTGGAGAACAACAGGTAAGGGAGGAGGAGGTCCACCTCTCCTCCCCTAAGAAAGAGCCATTAGGCAAAATTCCTTGAAAACTGCTGTTCCAGAAAACTTAGCTCTGTTATCATAGGTAACCAGTGGGAAAAATACTACTGCTTGCTTTGACCCAAACTACCCAAATAATAAAAGTCACGTTGCGGGGGCAGTTCAAATGAACAGGTGGCCTGCTACAAAGTGGGGGACGCGAGTGTAGTCATGCGATGCTGGCCGAGGCTTCAAGAGGAGGCAGGGTGAGCCATGTGTTAAACAGTTACTTTTCACATAAGGCTCTGGAACTGAGCAGCCTCTGAATTCTTACATCCCACGGAAAATGATCACAGGTAAAGAAAATCAGGGAGGCAAGGTGAGGGAAGGAGAGAGATTGGCCTTGATTGGACTCAGATTAATATAATACAAATCTTCTAAGGGAAGAAACACCAGGCCTGTGAATGCTCTTCCCAAGCAGGTGCCACCCAGGTGTAGCCCTCACGGTAGCATTTCAAAGGGAGGAGTTTTGGCCACTTGGCTCAACCGTGAGCCATGGAGACGGCCACCGGCAGAGTGAGGGAAAAAGGTGAAGAATGGTAAATGCATGGAATGCTAGTAACTAAGGAAATGTGGAGGGAAATAAATGTTCAAAGGGGAAAATAATATCCCTCCAAAAGGAGACAATTCATTTCACAATCAAGGGCATGTCACTCAGGATCCATGGAAAGACTCTGGTCCTCACAATGCTTGGGTTTCTAAGCAGTACCGTTTTTTTCCGTTCATTCTTGCAATATTAAATATTAGTGGAATGGATGGATACATGAATAACCTCAAAAGGTCTCTGGACTCATATTCAACTGGGTCTGTGGCAAGGACACCCCCTCAAAGGAAAACAAGCCCCTTGCCTGACACAGAGCTAACACGATATTCAGAGGACTCTCTGCTTCAAAGAGGAGGACATATGGGAAAGCTTGCTAATTCCTTTGAAAGCGCTTCTCATTGAAATGAATGTATTTAGAAACTTGAGAAGCCACCAGGCTGGAATGTGAAGACAGGCATCACAAAGCCACTAGATCTTCCGTACATGGGTTTATGTGGACACATCTGGTAGAAGATCTCTCATTTAGGGCCAGGTTAAAAAAAAAAAAGATGTCTCATTCAGGAGATACCTATTTGCCTCGGGCCAAATTCACTTAACTGAGTTGCACTTCCCCCTAGGTAATGCCAATCATTTAACTCTCCCGCGCCACTAACAAAGCTGGCTGGGAAACGTGGGCTCGCCAGACACTGGGCAGGTGAGCTAAGGCAAGGCGATGGGTTCCATTTAGTCTGAAGTAACACACTAGCCTTCTTCACAAGAACCCATCATGGCTTCTGCTAGCTCTCTATCCCAAGTTCCAGCTCATCCCCATATTCCGGGTCCTTTCATTTATTGCCACGAAATTATTCTGCTTTGCAGCCAGTTGAAACACAAGCAGTTTTTCCCTCTCTTGAGAAGTAGTTACATGAGAGATGTTTTCTTCCAGCTCTTCCACCCTTTCCAAGGCTGCATTCTTGGTTTCAGCATCCTCCAGCAGCGCTCCCACGTCGAACACGTTGTCCAGGTAAGCCTGAATCTGTACCTGCAGCTTGTCACTCTCCGTGTGTTTCAGCTTCTAAAAATCAAAGTGCCAGAGAAGGTGGTGTTAGCTTATCTGTGAAAACATCAATAGGACATGATTATGCAACAGCCTACATATTTTCTTTGTTCCAAATAGTCTCGCCTTTTACAAGGCAGGGTTCGATATACGTCATCTTCCTTAAGAGAATTACAGAGTAACCACCTAAGAGGGTACCATCAGATTATTTTCTGGAGAACACCCTCTCCCAAATATACCCACGTTTCCTCCCTAATCCTTCCTGTGCATATAGTCTCCAAGTGGATATATTCCAATCTAAAACATTTTGATATAAGTGAAATCAGGAAAACAGAAAAATTAAAAGCAGCTTTGAAAGGGAACAACAGTCACAGGGGACAAAAACTTGAGGGGCATCTGTGTATGAGAAGAGGTGGGAGTGGGTAGTCTCTTGCCTGGGTAGTGATGGTAGCTCTAGATGAGGGAAGGCTTGACGGGAGGTGGGGGAGGCACTGACCCTGTCTATGAGCCTTGGGCCTTATTTCAGTACAAATGCTAGAACCCACCCTCCACAACTCCCTGAGACACTGCCCAACATGAGGAACTCAGGGTTCCCCAAAGCACAGATCAGGAAGCTTTCCCCCATTGTCTGCATTCAGGGCCAGGCATTCCAAAAGGAAGTCAACTAACTCTTAGGTGAAATTAGAGGTCAAATAAATCAGTGAGTCTTCTTTAGAAGTAACCTAAGTCATGGCTTTCCCTGGGGAGCAGATAAGTAGCTAGAGTAATAACCGGCACATGCACGATGCCGATAAATCCTTACTGAACAAGCCAATGGCTCCTTAACAAGGCTGGGTTCATTTTGTTTTTGTTTTAATCTTTACCTGAGGACATTTTTTTTTATTGCTTTTTTTTGTAGGGGGAAGAGAAAGAGAGAGAAACATTGATTGGTTGCCTCCTGTATGCACCCGGGATGGGAACAAACCTATAACCCGGGCACATGCCCTGACCAAGAATCAAACTCACAACCTTTTGGTTTACGGGGTGACGTTCCAACCAACTGAGCCACACCAGCCAGGGCAACAAGGCTGGTTTTTGTAAACTAATAATGTATTTATATATTATGTGCTTATAATATTATTCTTCCAACCACTTCTACTTATCAGGGTCCAGAACCAACAGACTAGGAAGTTAAAGAAACAGAGAGTTTTGAAAAAGTCTTAAATATTTAAGGGGAACTCTACATAAATTCTCAGGAAAACAGATTTTCTCCTAGGTCTAACCTACGACTGAGCTTGTTCTGAAGACAGCACACACCATTTTAGTTTGAGAGTCAGAAATGAAAAGGATTTCTGAATAAGGACACAGTCTAGAAAAGAAAATGGAAAAGTTTAGCAGATTTCTCACAGGACTCACAATGAACAGCAGGTTCTAGTATGTTATTACCTGGCATTGTAACCTGGAGCCAGAAGTGAGCTCTGCACACCCATCACAAAACCGAACCCAGAACATTAGGGAGCTAGACGCTGAAATTCTGTTCAAATGCTATTATTCTCAGAGCATGTAGGGAAGGAGGACAGACAAACCTTGATCTCAAAGCAGTAAAGTGTCTTTCAGTACAATATCCTGTCAAAGACATTAGCGAGCCTTTAAATGGGAAGACAATTCAAACAACTCTTTAATGGAAATCTATCATGCCTCTCCCCAAGTAGTCTTTAGACAATGTAAGGCCAGTCTATTCAAGAGCAACCTGGCTGATCTCAGAAGGAAGGCCATAAGCTCCAGAGTAACCAATTCTGTGATTCTACCTTGCAATAAACTGAGGGCACAGATGTGTGAGTCCCTGGCTTCACCCCTAAGGAAGATGGGCAGCTGAACTTGATATGTTCAAGGAAAGTACTTCTGTCTTCTTGAAAACTAGAAACAGCCTTGAAATTGAGCTCAACAGTTCTTGCCCTATCATCACTAGTGATCTTCCAAGTTCAAAGGGGCCATTCTTATGTAGAATGGAAAACCTAACTGCCGAAAAGTGAGAGGAGAAGGGTACATCCTGCGCACACAGAGCTACTTGAGTCCATTTATGGCTTTCACATCAAACCCCCCCCACCCCCCCACCCCCCCACCCACCCCCCGTCTCTGAGCTGAAGAACATCAGGGAGCTGGCTGAGCACTTCTGCAAGGGAGCAAGAGAAAAAGAAACTTTAACCCCCTTTCCCCAAGATCCAAAAGTAGAGCTTCTAAAGCCACAAACATTTTAAGCAGAATTTAACAACTATTCAAGGAAGTCTCTAGTGTTCCTCTCCTCATTTTTTTTTTTTAAGCTTTAAGCAATTATTCATAAGTCTACAGCAGTCTGAGTTTGACTTTCCCTGCCCAATCAGGTTCCCCAGAGTAACCAAGAATGTGAATTGCCCAACAGCCAAAATGAAGGGTGCATTGAGACTTGACCCAGACAAAGCTCAAATGCAGAGGAAAGCTGCAGCAAGGCTGCATGAGGTTATCTGGCTCTGGTACTAAAAGACTGCCGGCAGCAGAGAGCCTGAGGTCCCGGGAGGTCTGCAGGCACCCAGCTCCTCTGGCAGACTGTGTCACTCGGATTGACTCCCTTTAACTAGCAGTATGCTGAGTTGATGGCGTAGAGCTTTAAGTGTTCCTTATCGCATGGAAGCGTATCTTTGACGGTAGGCAATAAATCCAGTCTTATGTTAGAGCTACAGCTTTCAATTATACTTACATCCAAGTATTCATCCAGGCCTAATTTGGTAAATTCATATTGAAGGTGAACTCTGAAATTCATATCTTCTACTGAATGGACTACAATATTAATAAACTGCATAGAGGCCACCTGAAATGAAATTACCAACAGGTTAGATGAGCTCCAAACTTGTTTTCTCAGTTTAATCATAATACATGCTTTCAATCGCACAAATCTAAGCTCATTTACCAATATCCTTTTTCTTCATTTCATGGGGTCTTTACAAATATTTATATATATATATATATATTCAAAAGTCATACAGATACCATAATTAGATGCCACTTCACATCCACTAGGATGGCTAGAACCAAAAAGAAAGATAATAAATGATGACAAGGATGTAGAAAAGTTCAAACCCTCATCCATTGCTGGTGAGGAGAGAGAATAGTGCAGCCACTGAGAAAAGTTTCACAGTTCCTCACAATGACCCAGCAGTCTCATTCTTAGGTATATATACCCAAGAGAAATGGAAATATACATCCACATAAAAACTTGTACACTAATGTTCATCGTACCATTATTCATAATAACCAAAATGTGGGAGGAAAAGAACATCTATCAACTAATGGATTAAAAAAATGGGATATATCCATGCCATGGAATATTATGCAACAATAAAAAGGAATGAAGTACTGATATGTGCTACAACATGGATGAACTTGAACACATGATAAGTGAAAAAAGTCCCAAAAGATGACATATATTAGTCTATATATATGAAATATCCAGAAAAGGCAAATCTACAGAGGCAGAAAGTAGGTTAGTAGTTGCCTAGAACTGGGCATGGGAGAAAATGGGGAGTGACTGCTCATGGGTATGAGGATCCTTTTGGGGTCAACAAAATTTTCTAAATTAGACTTCAATGTTGACTGCACAGCCCTACAAATACACTAAAAATATGTTGTCTCATACAATTTAGATGAGTAAACTGGATAGTATGTTAACTGTAAAGCCATTTATGTATGTTAATGTTAAAGCCATTAAAAGTCTTATAGGTATACAGAATAAACTCTATAAGTTATTACAGATACATTGTAGAAAATATAAAATTACAAAGAAAAACATTCAAGTCTCCTATAATCATAGGTGATTTGATTATAGTCACTTCTAAAATCTCACTGTGACCCCACCATACCAACAGGGTCATTTCAGGATCTCTCACCCATCTTTCCATTTTATTATTATTATTATTATTATTTTCTTTTTATTGATTGACTTTAGAGAGAGAGAAGAAGGGAACGAGAAACACCAACTTGCTGTTGTGCTTCTAGATGCACTTGTGGGCTGCTCCTTGTACGTGCCCTGACTGGAGAGGGAGCGCGTGGCCTTGGTGTATCGGGACAACACTCTAACCAGCTGAGCTACCCAGCTGGGCCTGGCTTTCCATTTTAAATAATCAATTTGTTTCCATTCCATAAAAGCCATGGATTTACTGCTTTCTACACACAATTACATCACTGGCCCTGAGACTGGCCACAGAGAAAACCAGACCCTAGTTTGGTAAAAACAACACGGAGTTCAACAGATCTATTTTGCTTTTAATAGTGATAGTCAATTTATTTATGGTGAAAATAGCTCACTAATGCTTTTTCTCTACAGTTAAACAGAGCCTCCTGCAAGGAGGTAAAATGACTGTGGGACCTAGAGTCACATTTACTCTGAAAATCAACTTACTCTCCCACAATCCCCATTTCTCCTTTATCTTTTTAAAATTATTTGTATCACATTAGATTCTTCTTTGAGCATGTTATACATTGGCTGTTCTTGGAAGACGGGTCGATCCTCTAGGTGACAAGGAGGTGCTATGGCAATTTACTAAAAAATTACTGCAGGTGCTATGGTTTAATAAGCCAAAGAAGATTTGAACAGTTTTTTGTTTTCTTTTGTCCACCAAAAAATACATTAAAAGGTTTTGTGCATGTTAGAGGAATTTATATTTTATAAGGAATAAGTTGTTTGGGAGGTTATGCGCCTTAATTGCAGCTATGAAAAGCCTCATTTTCTGGAGAAAAAATATGGTAGGATTTTGGCATATTTCCACTTCTCTTCTGAAAGCAGGTCTAAATGATCTGTTGAGTTTTACGATATGCCTAAGAGGTAACTATTTGCTTGGTGACACATAAATCAAGCACACAGTACCTGTATGCCAGCAGCCTCTAAATAATGTTCATGTATATATGTTTATACACACACACACACACACACACACACACACACACAATGCCTGTATATATGAATAAGTGTATTCATAGCAAATATGCTCTTGTTTGTAAACAGTACAGGTATTTTGAAGGACCTTTAATTATAATTTTAACACAAACTCAAGTGGCAGAGAGACCCTGTACATATGATAAATGAGGGAGGTGGCCACGTGTAACACAATAGGGAATGGTGTAGACTGTGACGAACTGGAAATTTTATCTTCAGACTAAAGGAATAGGGGCTACGTGGCTCCAGCAGCTGATATCCTGAAAGGACAGGTACCTATGGTGTTATCAAAAAGTTTTAGCTTAAGAAAATCAGAAATCCATACTTCTATGCACAATTTCCAAGTTCTGTCATGGAAGGGCATCCATCACTGGCAGACTAACTCACAAGCCCGAAGTTGGCTTCAGCCTGGGAGCCTCCCGTTTACAACCCCAGCTTAAGGGAACAAGTTCCCCTGCGAGGCCAAGAAAAGGAACTAGTCAAGTGAGCCAGGGCCTAACTTCTTCTCCTATTTATCACCAGTACAGACAGACATAAAGACACACACACACACACACACACACACACACACACACACACACACACAAATCCTAATAGCAAGACTTAAAAAGTCAGGGTAAACTATTCCTTGTTTCGCATTCATTTTTTACCTTTTAAAAAGCATACATACATAGGCTTCATGGAACAGAAAATCTTTTCTATAAAAGATTTCATCTCTCTCTGAATTTTGGAAAGGGCTAAAGGCCACAATGCATATGAAATTTGAGGACCCAGAAAAAAATGTTTAACTTAAAGGGTTAGAAATCTGCAAAGCTATATTTCATATTTTACAGTCCCTGAAGCAATTCAAATGAAAACCCTGCCTGGCACCCTAAGCCCAGGTTTTCGAAGCCTGGACAGCGTGAGACCTGACTGGGATGGCTGTCCCAGGCAGCAGCAACCTGGGAGAGTAAGCCCGGGGCGGGGGGGGCCTCTCGGGTGCAGAAGACCTGTGCATCTCCCTGGTCAGGTCAGAGAACACCTGCCAACCTGCATGCACTCCAGAGTAATCTATCTCAGGAAATTCTCTGTAGGAGATTCCACCTTCGGTGCAGGATTAGGCTGAGGTATATGAAATCAGAAGTGCTCGAACTCCTTGTGCTGTTCGTTTGGGAAGATGATAGTCCTGCTGCTGAGCCCCATGTGGTTGTATGAGATTTACACTGTAAAAGGATCTACAGGGTAAGTATGCCTTTCACAGAATTACTAGAGCAGGAAAGAGATCAAGAGGGGAAAAAAAACTACTATATATTAACATGGGGGATGTATACAGTCAATTCCGCAAAAGAAAGCACTTCAGTCATTGTGAATATTGTCTGGAGAAGGCTCCTGGCTGGATTGTGTAAAAGGCAAAATGGTCAAGATTCTGGTTTCCTGCCTTAAGGATTCTTATGCAGCACCTCCAGCAGCTAAAGTGGGCAACTGCAGGCACATGCACCACACGTTAACTCCTTTTCCCTAAGTGCATGGCCTCGCCCCTTATCTGCTGCAAATAATCAGTATTTGCGGCCTGTGGTACCGTGCATATAGAATGAATAAAACAGGAAATAAATGACATAAAGGGAAAAATACAGATTAAGAGAGACAGTCTACATTGGATCTATAACATATTATGCTCGATTTTCTGTCCTTTGTAACATATGTATGTATAATAAATATATCAATAGGTTTAGGAAAAAGTGATGAAATTGAGGTTGTTTTATTAAATGTGGTACTAAAATAGCTCACCATAAAATCTATGTTATTGTCTTCATTCCTGAAATGTTCCATCAACTTCTCAAAGCGCTGTTTTTCTCCACAAACCTGAAACACACATTTTCATTGTGCATGTGAAATTCCAAACATAAGCATTCCAAAATTAGATGCAGAAATTTCAGCATTAATAATCATTTCCAGAGTATCTATTTTCTTCCCTCTCACACACTATTTACTTTTCTTCCAAGCTAGTTAACTTGGCAAATAGCAACATGAGCCAGGACCCAAACTGACCCTTGGTTTCCTTTGCATGTTCTCTTGATATTTTGAAATCCGTATCAAATGTGTTCTTCTTTCGTGGGTTATATTTGCATGTCCCACCAACTTTATTAACCTGCATTCAGAATCCCGGAATGTTGCTTATGGTTTAAAAAAAATCACCAGAGCTTTTCTTTTCACAGAAGTACTTTTTAACTTTTTTATAGAAGTACAGAAGACATGCTAAAAGATCTTACCAATTTTGTATTTACATTCCTTGAAAAGCAGGTTAAAATTTTCTTATAAACTAATTAAGTAATTTTAGTGCAAAGCTACAACATAGAAACTTAGGGAGCTATATTAACTCATTCAAGGTGAGTATAGAAACCTGCGGTGACTCATGAAAGATCACTCCAGAGGCCAGAAGCGCATGCAATTCAGCTCGAATTAATGTTTTTGCTGAACAGAAGAAATAAGACATTAAATCCTGTGAATTCCAGGTCTCCAAAGTGTTTGCTTATATACGGAATTAAACAAACTGAGTTCAAAACACAAAGTCAAAGAAAGATTTATATCAAATAACTCTCTGGAGACTCAGTCCCCAAATCCAAGGATAAACTTTTAATTCTGTCGGTGTCCTTGGCTACCTTCATTAGAGTGAAGTCCTTCACCCACTGGTTTATTTATTCCACCTTCAGAAAATATTCACCCGACTGTCCATGGGCTACATGCCGTGTCACAGTAAGACACAACCTGTAGTCTTAACATTTTACAAATTTAATCCAGGTTGCACATGCTTAACTAAATTTTCTGATTCCATCCGTGATCTTAGGGATATTCAGGCAATCCTAAAGAATTCTCCTAAAATGATATTTCATAAAGCTATAATGCAGCCATTCAGTTCCATTATATTAAATTCCATGTGAATATACATATACATATACATATACATATATATGAATGAAGAAAAAGTCCCAGAGGGCAGAAATTTTGTCTGTTTTGTTCACTACTTTATCCTGAGCATCTAGAACAATGCTTTAGCACATTGTATGTTCTCAATATTTGTTGAATTACACTGCACAGAAAATAAGCATATAATTATGTTAAAATACAATTAACAAAAGGGTGAATGACTTCTTACTCTCCCCCCTGTTTTGGAGTGACACAGGACCACCAGACCACTGCAGCCAGGCAGCAGGAGGAAGTCTTTAGTGGGAGTTCCTGTGCCTAAACAGAGAACATTAAGGGGGAGAGCCTTTCGGCTCCCAGGGCCTTCTACTCTTAGAGCAACTTAATTTTCTCAGCGGATTCAGACCATAGTTTACCTGTATTCTGATGACAATTATCTGTTTATATATACCTGCCTTAACAAAAAATAATTACAGAAGACAGAAGAATTAGAACATGGGCTCAGACTAGAGGAAGGGGAGGAGGCTCCAAAAGGGAGAGTTTAAAATAAAGTCTTTAAAAACACACATGTCCAAGCCCACCCCAGAAAGCCTGATTCAGCAGACCCAGTGGGGCTGGGGTGACCTGGGCATGTACAATCTGATCCTCTGCAAAGGCTGAGAACTGGAGATTTAAAGGGATAACATATTCTGTCCCTATCCCCTCTAGAGAATGTGCGGTTAAGTTCCTGGAAACAAAAGGTTTGTTGAAGCAGGAGAGGCAGTGCAAGAGCAGCTCCCTAGACCACGACTTCAGCCAAATCTTGTGCCCAAAGTCACAAGTGTCCTTAGCCTGTAACAAGGGCCCAGTGAGCAAAAACTGCCCAGGCTTGGTATAGAAAAGGTTAGACTTACAACCTGAATTTTCTTTAAGAGAAATCTCAACATAAGAACTTGCTCCCCAGGATAACAGTTTGTTTCAGTCTGTTCTGGGAGGGTGGTAGTGACAAGAGAAAGGAGTAGAGATGGTCTTGGATCTGGCTGCCTGCTCTCCTGGGAAACAGGCTGTCTTTAATGTCTTGTTTGAGTGGCTATGCGCTCACTGAACCAGACCAGGCAATGGCCGTCAATGAACACTAACACTGACTACAAGTCCTTCAGATTGAAAGGCGAAGCCCTTTAAATTCAGGGATGTCAGAAATCCAGAAAGCACCTAGGTAATCTGATACCCTCAATTTATGAATGAGACTGACACCCAGACATATCAAATACCTCCAACTGGATGACAGTTCACGCCGAGGCTAGGCCCAGGTCCCCAACTGCAAGCCTGATGTTCCTTCTCCCGCACAGCCCATAACGTTCAGATAAGTATATCCCATGTGAGACAACAGTTAAAGCATACCAGAATTATCTGAGATGCCAACAGAGATGAAAAACATTATTACTAGAAGCCACAGTCATTACATCACGCATATAGTTGACATCCACATGCCAGAAGCTTCCATGGAACTTCTAAAAACAGCAGATGGCTGGGGTCTAAATCAAGGCATACTGACTGAGAACCTCCACAGACAGAACCAAGAATCTGTTCTTTTAAAAAGTACAGACCAGCATTTGGGAAACAGTGGCTTATACAGTACTAGACTAGCTCAGTGATTTAAACTGGTGTGACCCAAGAATTTTTGAAATAGGCAATACCTATTTAGTCAGGGGCACTGGCCTCTTTTACCTTAGGTTGTCAAATAAAAAGAATGACAACAGACAATACAACAATAGCCATCCTGTGTGAATGAATCAATATTATACCTATTTTTTTGTTGTTGTATCAGCAAAAAATGTACCTTTGGGTGTGCTGTAGAATTCTGTAATTTATGTATGCCTTCAGATGAAAAAGGTTAAAAATTGCAGGCCTAGCCGATTAAACCCTCAGCCCTTTTTTTTTTTTTTTTATCAATCCTCACCCAAGGATATGTTTATTGATTTTAGAGAGAGAGAAGGGAAGAGGGAAAGAGAGAGAAACGTCAATTGGATTGGTTGCCTTCCATACACACTAACCAGGGATGGAACCCTCAGCCTAGGTATGTGCCCTGACCAGAAATCAAACCTGTGACCTTTTGGTGTGCGGGACGATACTCCAACCAACTGAGCCACCCAGCCAGGGCCCTCAGCCTTTTTGACTACCAACTGTTAAGTTGAGAGCTGGGTCATTAACTCTCCAATTCATTCAAGCTCAAATTTAATAACTCAAATGAAGAAACGTACTTACTATAACTGGGTATCATAGGCAAGTAGCAGGAATTAGCCCACTGACCCTGCATTGCTACAGTGATGAATAAGCTAATTCCCAAATAATCATGAATTGTGTCCAGGGCATTAGAGAAACAGAAGTTATATGGCTAAGGAAAGCACATGCGGGCAGCAATGAAACAAACTATTGGTAGCCTGTGAATAAAAAGAGATGGCGTCAAATCCAGAACAAACAGTATTACATTAATTTCATGCCAGGCAAAGATCCCCAAAATCATTGTACCAGTCTGGTGTACTGGCAGGACTGAAATATATATTATTGAAGAGTCTTAAATATATATACATATTTCTTTAGAAATTGTTCATTCTGTCAACAAATCTACGCTGAGAACATGTGTTATGAAACAGAAATACCTTTAATCTTCACCAAAAAATAGACGTAAATATCTTCCAATTTCCAGCTGTTATATACTTGGTGAAAAAAACCCAAACGCACAAAACAACATTTTGCCACCATAGATGCCAGCTTCAGGAAACTGTGGAAGAAGAATCTGCCTGACCTCTCTGCTTACTCGCTGTAGGAGCTAGAAGGGCCCCTCCTTCAGCTCCATCAAGCCCATCCCATAAAGGTTTAGACAGACTGCTCGCTGCTCTGCTGCCAATCTCCACTAATGGATTCAGGGTGGTATTTCGGACACTGTTCCATAGGAACAGCATGGACCCCAAGAGGCTCCTCCATTCCTGCTGAAGGAAAGGAAGCACGCACACTCGATTCACATTTGTTTCTCTATCACTTAAGCAATCTTTAAACAAGTGTATACTAAATCCCACAGGAAGTGGGAAGATATGTTTGGGAAAGGCTGGGACGTCATGTCCACATGAAAGGAAAGTCATAGCTCACAGGGCTCACAGAGCTCACATCTGGACCACTCCCACGCACTGGGTTCACACAGGACCATCAAGGCTGAAAGTGCTGCTTCTTTCCTTTGAAACTGGCCTTATTTTAGAAACTTGGTGAGGATGAAAGGAATGAGTACCGGTTCTCAGTTATTGTCAGAATCGAGACACTGGGAATGTTCTTTATCGCAATGGGTGAAAGAGCCAGAGTATGTATCTGCACATCTATTTTTTTCATGTTATACTCTGCTGCATATTAACTTTCAACAAAGGCCAGACAATATATGATCTGAAAGCTTTCAGGTAAAAAAACAAACCAATTATTGCACTATGGCAACTAAAATCTATTTTTTCTTGAGTTTTATATTCACTGGTATTTCCCAATCCTCCGTTAGCTTTACAACAGATTTCCTATATTGATACCAAAGAGCCACTGGAATAGATGGGGCAGGCAGTGAATTTAAGAGACACGGTGCAGAACGGCTGAGAGCAGCAGCCTGAAGACGAGCCCTTCTGTGTACTGGGCCACTCCGTCAGGAATGCGGCTTCCACTCCCCGGGCCAGGGCTACCGGAAATTAAGTAAACCAGCAGAAAAATAAAAGTATATGCTCTGGAAAAGCAGGTACTCTACTTTAAACCTATGTTTACTACTATAAACTTAAGAGGCATCTTTATTTATAAATCATTATAGATCACACTCATGTGAATAAGTTCACCGACCCTGATTAACACTGCCTAGCGTGAGGACGCTCAGGCCGGGATCCTGGCGCGACATCAGTCAGCCAACACAGCCGCCCATCCCCCCTCCCCGTGGGGTC